GTGCCGCTCACATCCTGACCTCAAGAGGCAGTCACATGGCCCCTGTCTCAGCTTGGCATCCCCACCTGTTGGCACTGTTCCTCCCCAGGGTGGTAGGGGAAGGCAAACTCATCTTCTCAGCCCCTGTGACCAAGCCGCCCTTCATGTTAGTGCTTCTTCCCTGGGCCTTACTCCAAGCAGAGAGCAGAGTGTGGAGAAGAGAGTAAAAGAGAGGACTTGATGGTAAAAGAAGGGAGGGGGGATAGCCCTCCACATCCCAGAGAAACCATTTGTAGGTGGAGGGTGGGAGGGGGGTTGGTCTGTGCAGTTAGCTTAGCCTGGGGTGAGTTCCCTGAGCAGACATTCAACTTCTGCACCAGGGCGCAAAGACAGGTTGGCCACAGGGCTTGGACCTATGAGACCTGGTTTCTAATTCCAGCATGGTTGTTTACCAGCTGTGCAACTTTGGGCAAAGTATTAACCTCTCTGAACTTCTCATTTATACAGTCAGGATAATGAGCTCCAACCACTGAGCCATAGTAAGAACTGAATAAGGTGGAATAAATGAACTTTCTAAACTAGAGATGTGAAATATTGCTGCACTTGTCACTGGGCACCAAAACAAAAAGTCGCTTCATCTCAAGATTCAGAGGGAAAACCTAACTTCTGCCCGATCATGATCACTGGGGTCAAGATACTTGCTGTCCCAGTGAGGCTGGGGCAGTGGGACAGGCACTTGTAACTTCCCAAGCAATGACCTCCAGTCCCTGGTGGCGGGCCGTCTTCTGTTGGTTATAGTTCTCAGTGCCAGCCCTCTGGCCTCTTGTGGACTTGGAGGCAGTGGAGGGTTGGTGGCAAGATAAGGGACCCAGCAGAGTGAAGGCCAGCACAGAGGAAAAGGTGCCCAGATCAGCCATGGGCTGCTGCCTTTGCAAGGCTAGTGGCTCCAGTGGCACCTACTGAAAAGACGCAGCGACAGGTTGGGAGCCTGGAGGCAGTGGGGACTTCCAGTGACCCAGAGAGGCAGTGATGGGTGTGATGGCCTCACAGCCCCTCCAGATTCCAGGAGAAGAGGCCACTGGAGAAGAGCAGAGAGGGTGTGGTGGGGAAAGAAGGGCTGGGAGGCAAGAGGCCAGCATGAAGGGAAGGGTCTTCTCCTCAGTCCCCTGTGAGACCGAGGAGTGGGGATGCTTCTGACAAGCCCTGGATGTGGATGGAGAAAACACACGGATGAAGGTTCACGGAGACAGAGTCTCCTCTCAAGGCCAGGGCTCGAGGCTGGGAGCTGCTCCTCTCTTAAGGGTATGGAGCCAACTCTGTCCGCATAAAGCCATGGCTTCCCTGAGTTGGAAGAGATTTTAATCCAGTCTCCCAGCTGACATAGACACTTCTCTAAACACATCCCGGACCCGTCATTATCGAGCCTCTAATGGAACACCTCTGGTTACCAGAACTCCCTTCCTTCCTCCCAAGGCATCTGGCAATTAGGAAGCTCCCTCTTCTGGAGCTGGAACTGCTCCTCTTGCAGGGTTTACTCATTGACACTTGCTCTACTTCTTTGGCATTTGTACAAAAAGTATGATCCCTCTTCCATGCTAGAGCAGGGTGGCTCTGAGCAAACCTCCCGCTTCCTGGGGACAGGAAGTACTCCCCCATAAGCAGGGCTACACAGGTCTTCTCTGCAAAATCGGTGTAGCCCAGGCTGGTTGTTTCCTCCTACAATCTGAGTCTAGGATCGCCACTCTCCTGGGATCAGGCCCTCTAGCATCAGGACACCCTAACCCCAAGCAGAGGAGTCTCCATCCTCAGGACAGCAGACCCCATGCTCCTTTCTGGATGAATCACTCTTCCAGCCTGCAGCAGAATGCAGACACCTTTCATGCTATGATGCCAGCCAAGGGCATCACCAGGATGCCTGGAGACCCTCTGCTGCCCTGAAACCCCTCCACAGCTTGAAAGAGCTGGCACGGCTGCTAATGAAAAACTGACCCTGCATTGCACCAGGAGGCAGTAAATTTTATGAGTCTGTGTGAGTGGATAGAGGCAGCTGCGGGGGCTGATTTCCACTTCCTGACACAATACAAATTTCTTAGTTTATGCAGAACTAATTAAAGATCTCTCAGGTCTTGCTATTTCATTCACCAGGCACCCATAAAGCCATGTGGTGATGGCAGCCGCCTGCCTGCAGCGTGCGAGGAATGTGCTTCGCCAGGAGTCATTCTTCCCTTCCCAACCTTCCTCCCCCTCCTGCGGCTGCCTTTCCTTCCTGCCTCTTTTCTCCTCCTGGGAGGCTCTAGCAGCTTCCCAGCCAGGGTCTGGAGGGCAGGGATGGGCTCCTTACAGCAGGTGGTACCATGGGAAGGACCCAGACCTGGAACTGAACTCCTGCTCTGCCACTTATGAGCCAGGAGACTTTGGGCAAGCTCCAGTGCTGTGGTTTCAATGTGTCCCCCATAGCTCTTGTGCTGGAAACTTAATCCCCAGTGAAACAGTGTTGAGAGGTGGGACCTTTAAGAAGTGATTAGGTTATGACAGTTCTGCCCTCATGAATACATATTCATGTTGCTGTCATGGGAGTGGGTCAGTTACCGTGGGAGTGGGATAGTTATCATGAGTTAGTTATTCTGGATGTAAATTAGTTATTGCAAGAGTGGGTTAGTTTTTGTGGGAGTGAATTAGTTATTGTGGGAATGAATTAGTTATTGTAGAAATGAATTAGTTATTGTGGGAATGAGTTAGTTATTGTAGAAATGAATTAGTTATTGTGGGAATGAGTTAGTTATTGTGGGAGTGAATTAGTTATTGTGGGAATGAGTTAGTTATTGTGGGAGTGCATTAGTTACTGTGGGAATGAGTTAGTTATTGTGGGCATGAATTAGTTATTGTGGGAGTGAATTAGTTATTGTGGGAATGAGGTTGCTATTTTGAGAGTGGGTTGGTTATTGTGAAAGTGGGTTAGTTATTGTGGGAGTGGGTTACTTATCATGGGAGTGGGTTAGTTATCATGGGAGTGGGTTTGTGATTGCTGGAGTGGGTTATCATGGGAGTGGGTTAGTTATTGTGATAGTGGGTTAGTTATTGTGGGAGTGAGATAGTTATCCTGGGAGTGGGTTAGTTATTACGAGAGTGGGTTAGTTATCATGGGAGTGGGTTAGTTATTATGGAACTAGGTTGGTTATCATGCAAGTGTGTTAGTTATCATGGGAGTGTGTTAGTTATCATGGAAGTGGGTTAGTTATTGTGGGAGTGAATTAGTTATCATGGGAGTGGGTTAGTTATTATGGAAGTGGGTTGGTTATCATGGAAGTGGGTTAGTTATTGCATGTTAGTTATTGGGTTTGTGGTTGCGAGAGTGGGTTTGTTACAAAAGTGAGCCCAGGTTTCTCTTGCTCATGTTCTCTTGCCCTCTCCTGCCCTCCCACTGTCTACCATGGGATGACACAACAAGAAGGTCCTCACCGGATGTGGGCCCCTTGATCTCGGGCTTCCCAGCCTCCACAACGGTAAGAAATCAGTTTCTTTTCTTTACAAATTACCCAGTCTGTGGTGTTCTGCTATAGCAACGTGCAATGGACTAAGTTACACAGTTTTCTGATTCGTTAAATAGGAGAATGGTCATACCAGCCTCACAGAGTGGTTTTAGCGCTAAAAATAATGCAGGTTGTGTTGAAAGACTGCCTGGACCACAGCACATGTTAAGTAGTGACTACCATAAAATTATTACTGCTATTACAGTTATTGTAATGACTGCTTCTCGGTCTTTGCTCAAATTGCTTACCTATCTAAAATATTGTTTGCTTTCAGATTTGCTGGTTGAAGGCTCACAGTGGTAGATTAAAAGTAGCCACAAGGCTGGCCGCGGTGGCTCACACCTGTAATTCCAGCACTTTGGAAGGCTGAGGCGGGTCAAGAGATGGAGACCATCCTGGCCAACATGGTGTAACCCGTCTCTACTAAAAATACAAAAACTAGCTGGGCATGGTGGCCCGTGCCTGTATTCCCAGCTACTCAGGAGGCTGAGGCAGGAAAATCACTTGAACCCAGGAGATGGGGTTTGCAGTGAGCCCAGATTGCACCACTGCACTCCAGCCTGGTGACAGAGCGAGATTTCGTCTCAAAAAAAAAAAAAAAAAAAAAAAAAAAGTCCACAAATCCTTTCTATTCCTCCAATGAAGAAGTAGGGCCTAAGACTTTTCCCACACTGATGCACATGACTTGGTCATGTGACTTGCTTCAACCAATAAGACATTAGGAAATGTGATGCAAGCAGATCCGTGAAAAGACCTTATGCACCGGGACCTGCCCATTTTGAATGCTGCCCGGACCTGCTGTGCCATAAGGAAGTCTGTGTAGCTTCCTGGAGGATAAAGAGGCCGTGTGGAGAACAAACAGGGGACCCCAGCCCACAGCCAGCGTCAGCCACCAGACACATGAATGGGGCCATCTTGCCCCCTCCCACACTTCCATCTGTCATTTGGTGTGACTGCATCAGTGAAGCCAGGTGCGATTAGCAGAATTCCCGGATTGTCAATCCACAGAATTGTAAGAGAGAGCCAGTAAACTTGGAATAGTTTGTTACACAGCGATAGATAGCTGATACATTCACCCATTCATCAAGGTTGGTTCCTGCCTGTCTTGTCCCAGAATATTTCCCAGACTTGTCTCAACCTGAAGTTTGTCTCTCCGCCTCCTGTAATCACGCAGTACCTTGTGATGGTAGCACTTAATACAGTCTGCCTTCACTGGGGTTATTTGTACAGGAATGCTTCTGACTCTGGCCTGTGAGAGCTGGACCCCTCCACACCCTACATCCTTGCTCAGCACAGAACTCTGCCTAGGTGGATCCCAGTAGTCTGGCTCCTGCTTATCAGGAGCTTGGGGTGCCAGTGAGACCCTGGCCTGCCTCAGTACAGGCACAGCTGCCTAGGTTGACAGGGAGAGACCCTCTTGGGTCTGAGGTCCAGTGAGCCACAGATTTGTCCAAAGTCCTGCCCCACTTGGGTCCTCCCCCTCCATCTTACCTTCCGGCCGTGGTAGCCCTGGATCCCTGGATCTCCCTGAGGAAACAAAGAGAAACCATAAAAGCTTTTTATTTCCCCGCCAAACTTTGACTTGGGCTGTTCCCTACATAATGCTATCCCTCTTCTTCTCAGCGACTCTGAGTCCCAGTGCCCCTTCAACACCCATCTCCAGCCTTCCCAGGAGCAACAGCTCTTAGCTTCCTCTGAGGCCAACACAGATTGTTCTACTCTTGAGAACAAACTCTGCTTTGCAGAGGCTGAGGCATGGTGGGAAGACTCACTTGGGCAGGGTCCCAGGAGACCCGATTGTTGAACATGGATGGACAAGTCTCTTTCCCCCGGGGCTCTTAGCTTCTGCATTCATAAAATAGTTGGGCACAATCAGTGCTTGGCATCTTCCTGTCCCCAGAGCCCCAGGGTCCCCAGCTTCAAAGGGAGAGGCTGTTTGACACTGTGGGCTTCTGGGTGAGGGTTCACAGGAGACTGGATGACCCTGGAGGTCTCTTCCCATTCTGACACCTTATAAAATACTGTTTTATTGGGATATTGTGACGGTGTTCTGGGCATGAGCTTACAGTTTCCAGCTAGACTCTATGCTCCTTGGAGGGTGGACTGTGCCTTCAATGCCAGCCCGTAGCACCTGCTTCACTGGCCTGAGCACACGAGAAGTGCAATTCTTATTGGAACCAAATTCGTTCCTAAGAGAAGGGTGGTGTTTTGGAACTGGGTCAAGCTTGAACCATCTCTCAGCTGAGACCCCTCTCCTCTCCTGCCTCAGTCACCTGTGCTGCCTCCCCTTCCCTCCTGCAGGGAATTCTCCCACATGTCCAATGCATCACCCAGAAGGACACTCACCTTTGGTCCAGGAGGCCCAGGTAAGCCCTGTGGAAGCAAAAAAAAAAAAAAAAGAAAAAGGTGAGTGGAATTGGTTTCCACTGGTAAATGGGTTGGGGCTAGCCATACTTACAGTGGACCCTGGGGGCAGAGTAGCCCCCAATAGCTATGGCAAAAGAATGGGCATGCTACCCAACAGCTCTAGGGGATCCCAGAAGGGGATCTGAAACCTGCTGAGGGCACTTGGGGATAACAGGCTTATGTCCCTCTTTGCGGTCGTGTGGGTGCCAGGGACACCTCTACTGTTGCACCCATGGAAAGTAGGTCAGCAGCATCATGCTGAATTGAGTGTGGTTTGGTCCAGATCCTCACTCACCCACCTCCTAATTGGAACCCTCCCTAGAAAGCCAGCCTTGCCCAGCAGAGCCTTGGTTTTGCCCTTGGTCCTGCCTGCTGGCAGAGGGGCACTCTGTCTCCTTCTACCCAGGGTACTGTGGGCATGGCAGCTGGCCACAGTGAGGTGGTGTGAGCCGAGGGAGAGGCCAGGGAAGGCTGGCCGCACCGCAGCCTTGGGTGGAGATGTGGACAGCAAGCGTGGGCTGGAGAAAGCCTTGATGCCTGAGTGGTCTGTTGCAATTGGTTTAAAAAACATGCTCTCTGGTTTTCTTTTTCTTTTTTTTTTTTTTCCTTTTCCTTTGGTGGTTGTTGTTGTTATAAACAACCCAACAAAGAAAACCACCTGGCGTGGGTTCAGTAAGCGAGAACCCAATGTGTTGGGAGGGGTGGGGTGGAAAGGGCAGCAGTCAGCAGAAAGTGAATTTTGAGCACTTTTTCGTTTTCTCGGCTTAGTTTGGTTGACTTTCCTAAGTTTCCCTTTCTTTCAGGTTTTCCCATCTAAAAACGGGTGGAAATAAGATAAATCCCCCTCTCTGGGGTGCTGGGGAGAAATTGAGGAAACATTTAAAATTCACTGCAGGGGTCAAACATGGCAGGGTCACCGTGCTGGCCTTTCCAGCCAAGGTGGGTATCCTGTTGGGACATGGCTGTTGTCCAGCCCAGGGAGTCCCTATAACAAGCTTCGAGGTGGAAAGCTGGGCAGCCAAAGGGTCCAGACATGCAAGCAGGCCATCTAGAATGCGGCGGCATACACAGAGGACCGTTCGTTGGGGACATTCTGGCCTAGCAATTCCACCTCTGGGACTTGCCAGCAAAACTATCAGAGATGCAAATAAACATTGTTTCTTTGTCTATGTTCCATTCTTTTCACAATGAATTTATGGTGCTTTGGTCATAAGAAGGAAAAACAGACTTTGATTTGGTTTTTCTACCATGTGGGAAAAAGGTGATTAAAAAGGCCTTTTACCCTTTACCTACCTCTCCGATATCATTAGTCTTATGGGTGGGTGGAAGCACTTGTTTTCTCTGAAGTCTGGATACCCACCGAGTTATTCTGTCCTGGGGTTTTGTTGTACTAAATCGGACTGGGAAAGAGTGGAGTCTTAGGCAGGGCTTGAACATGGGTGACTTGGTGACCACCGGGCTAGACCTGTCACTTGAATGTGGTCCAGTCTGGAGGGGTGCCAGTTGGCCTCTCTGGAGCCCTCTAGGCAGTGGCCCTGCAGGCCCCGCAGGCTTGACACATCCTCAGGCTTGGCATGAGGCTCTCAGCTGACTGGACCTTCAGCTCAGCTGGCAGGTGGCCCAGCAGTGTGAAACCCACACATACCCCTGGAAGGCCTGATTATTGGGGTGCCAGGTAGTTGGCTGAACCCTCACTACCTCCTTCAAAATCCACTGCCCCTGACTCAGGTTTTCCTAAGGGGCTCAGGGATAGCCATCAGAGGTGCCCTTGGGAATTCTCTTTCCAAATTCCCCTCTGCTGGGGCTGGGAACGGGGCAGCCCATTAGTGGTCTCCTCCCTGGAAGGCAGGGGACATGGCTCGAGCTGTGTTTCAGAGCCAGAGTGCAACAGGTGGTGAGTGTGATGGGGAGGAGTAGCCCCTTGTGTGCTTCACCCACATCCAATGGACTTGCCAAGACATTTCTGCCTTTTTTAGGGGACCCACTGTCTATTCAAAGTTAGGAGTCTTCCAGAGAGTTCTTGGGACAAGTCTTAAAGGAGAGAGGAAGGGGATACTTACCGGTGGCCCCATGGGCCCTGGAAGTCCTGGGTGCCCCAGAGGTCCACTTGGTCCAGGGGGCCCTGGGGGCCCTGGTGGACCTTGGATGCTGGCCTGGCTCTGTTCACCCTGAGGTTTGTGAAAACAAATGTTAGAGGGAAGGCCCCCAGAGCTGCAGACCGGCTCCCTCCCTCCTGCCATGCACCCCATGAAGGCCTGCTGTGATTTCTGCTGGGACGGCAGTGGTGATCGGGGGAGGAGATGGTGGCATGATGGTGGTGATGCTGTGGTGATGGTGATAACATGCAGGGGCTGGTGGCAGTGAGAAGAAGGCCAAGACATTAGGTCCCCGAAGGTGGGGCTTCCAAAGAAGACTCGCTGCACAGAGCAGCCACGTAGAGAGATGTTCTGCAGGGGGCAGAGGCAGAGGAGTGGGTGAGAGATAGCCCCTGGCCCAACCAAAGGCCTGCTCCCACCCTGGCCAGATGGCCTGAATCTTTGGCCTGGGCTTACATCTGTCACCTTCCCCGTGTGGCGAGGCACACGGTCTCCCCAAGCCCCAGCCTCTCAGCCACAGAATGGGAACAATAGCCCTCATTTCCCGTCTCAGCTTTTTGCTGTTTTGACTCTCTGCCCCAGAGGATCAAATGGGATCCTTAGGTGACAGCCCATGGAATTTTGTCTGGCTCCCTAAACAACCGAGCAAGAGACTCTATGTACAAAATTTGGATTGGTGGCTTCTGATGAAACACTGGGGACCCTAGCTGTGCTGGGCCCACATTCCTATGTCCAAGGAGTGGCTGACCTTTAAGTGGGGCCTGAGTTCTCTGGCTGCTTTTGCCCTCTCCCTCCCACCTCTTGTCACACACAGCCTGCTTCTGTTACTTAGGGGATCTACCTGGCCTCAGAGGGTAGTTGAGCCTTGGTTTCGTTGAAAGAGTTTGGAAGCTGTGTGGAAGTGCTTTATGCTGTGTGGGGAGGCTGTTATCATTCCCTTGTCTCCTCAGCCACCTGCTCTGAGCCCAGCCTGCACCACACACCATGCCTGTCCCCAGAATGGATTGTGAGCCCAGGGAGGTAGGGATGGCGTCACGCTCCCCTGGGAAGAGGAGACGGCCTGGTACTCGTGAGCCAGATCTCAGGGCAGGGACAAGGCAGAGTCATCCTAGATCTAAACCAAATTTGGTTCCCTGGTTTATGATTTTCTGTTTTTGCTTGTTTGTTTTGACAGAGTTTCACTCTTTGTTGCCCAAGCTGGAGGGCAGTGGCATGATCTCGGCTTACCACAACCCCCACCTGCCAGATTCAAGTGATTCTTCTGCCTCAGCCTCCTGAATAGCTGGGATTACAGGTGCATGCTACCACGCCCAGCTAATTTTTGTATTTTTCGTAGAAACGGGGTTTTCCCATGTTGGTCAGGCTGATCTCAAACTCCTGATCTCGTGATCCAACCACCTGGGCCTCTCAAAGTGCTGGGATTACAGGCGTGAGCCACGGCGCCCAGCCTGGTTCATTATTTGATAAATGACCTCGGGTCAATCTGGGCTTAGCTCTTGTGAGAAGGGGCCCATTCCTGCAGATGGGCTGAAGCAGAACTTCCTGGCAGGTGTGGGAGCTCTGGGCTGGATGCTGGGGGATGCAGGCGGCTGGGGTTCTAGGCCAGCCCACCTTTCTCAGAGGAGCTCAGCAAGCCCCCATGACACACTGGGTCTCCTGCCTCCTCATGTGAGGAAGGCAGCTGATGATGCTCGCTGCAAACTCTAGAGGGAAGCCGTGGTGATAAACAGGAGTGTACAACCTGGGAATGAGAAATGTAAGCTTTCAGCAAGACCTGCTGGCACCAGCTTTCGGCTGGAACACCTGTGGGCAGATGGCCTCCAGCAGCATCACTCTGGGATCCAGGCCTTATCCTGTGACACTCTCTGAGAAGCCACTTTAGGGCTCAGGGTGTCAGTGGCAGAGGAAGCAGGTGCTGAAATCACTTCAGCGGCTGCCCTGCTTACAGGTCCCCTATCTGGCTGCATGCTGGTCGTTGATAAGTCTCAGTCAGCACTGTCTCTTCTGAACCGAGACAGGCTTCACTAAGCCTCAGGCCTTAAGAGGGGACCAGTGCAGGCTCCTTTTCAACCACAGTAAATCTGATTCAGCTGCTTGGGTCCCGGAACCTCCTCAGAATCCTGTACTTGGTGCGTTTATATTTTTCATAGTGTTTCTACATTCACAAGATAGGGGAGGCTTAGTCCGAAGCAAACTCCCAAAGTTCTGAGTGTGAAATTCTAGAATCTTCACAACGTCACAAGTCTTACGTTGCAGAAGAGAAAACTGAAGCTCCGAGAAGTTGAATTCCCTGATCAAAATCACATGGGAATCCAGGGTGGTGCCAGGACCCAAACTTGGAACTTCAGACTCTTCCTGTTCTTTCCAAAGAAGTCCCCAGCAGAAAGGGCTCACTGTCTACTCTTTCTGCACTTTGGAAATGACCTCCAGCGCCATCTGCCAAGCACATCCTATCTCATGTCGTTTCCTTTTTCAGTGAATCTTAGACCCAATGTTTAAGCGGCTTGCAGAGCCTGTAAAATCAATATTGGTTTATTGATAGGAAATGGACAAGCATTTTTATGTCCCATCGTGGCTGACAGCGTAAAAAACCTGATTCTGGAGGCAGAGTCTGCAGCAGGCAGCTCAGAGGTACCTTGTCTTCTTTCTCTACTTTGGAAAGCAGGTCAGGGTAGTACAGAAAGTTCTGGCTTAACCTCTTGCTCTTGAAAAGGGAGGCAGTAACATGCAGCAGCCAGGACGGAATCCTGCACCCCTCTCAATTTCTTCCTTTGCAAAGCGGGGATAATGAGGTGGCTGGTGTGGGGAATGCATGAGATAATTTGCGTAGAATTCTCACAACAATGCCTGGAACCCAGCAAGAGCTCAGCAAAGAACAGCTGATACAGCTAAGGCCTGGAAGTCGCCGTTGGGGCCCGGGAGAGTGGCTATTCTGAGAGTGTGGACTCAGCTCTCCTGAAATGGGGTCCGGCATGGGCTAGGGTGGGTGACAGGGGTGGGCCTGGTGCTTCTCCGAGCTGCCAGTGGGCCTCCTGAGTAACCATGCTCCAGTGAGTGCTTGGGCACACGGAGGCTCTCGAGGATTTGGCTGGCATAAGGTGATACAGGGCCTGCAGGCTCGGGTGGCACTGGAATCATGTGTCCCTCTGTATTTTTAGTTGTTAATTGGAGGGAGTTTTCAGCCTTGTTCAATCAGGTGCCTAAACATCCAGGCCCTTGGGCTCCTGACTGTTGAGTCAGGCTGGATCATGACTCGAGGCTTTACGATCAGGCTGTAGAAAGCAGGTCAGAGCCCTGCCACTGCTAGCGTCCCTGTGTGGGGCGGGGGAACCCAGTGCAGCATGAGAAAGGCGAGGAGCACGGTGGGCTGCCCAGCCTGGAATCAAGCTGTGGTCTCTCAAGGAGCAGCGGCCTGATGGCTTTGCTGATTGTGACCTGCCCCTGTCCCATCTCTTTGAGCTCAGAAGGCAGGAAGAAGGAAGCAGTTGCCCACAACGTTGGCTGTGGACTGCATTCCCTCCACAGATTCCCTTCCCTTACTCCCCAAACTCAGGTTACGAGGGGTCAGATGCTAAGCAGCCTACTCTTCTAAGCAGAGAGGAGTTAGGTCCAGCTGAGAGAGCCCTGGATGGAGGGTCTGAAGACCTGACTTCAATTCCAATGCTGTTTCAATGCCAGTTTCAATTCTGCCTCTTACTGTTAGTATAACCTTGGGCAAATCAATTCACTTCTCTGAGCCTCAGTTTCCTTATCTCCAAAAGATGGATACTAGTAATAACAGCTAACAATTATGTCTCTTAAACTGTGCCAGGAACTATTCCAAGTGCTTTACATACCAACAAAAGCCCTATGAAATAGACACCGTTATTATCCGTATTTTATAGATGAGAAAGCTGGGGCACAGAGAGGTCAAGTAACTTGCCCCAAATCACACAGCTAGTTACAGGCAGAGAGAGTGGGTACAAATCTCTGCTCTGCAATGCACTGGCTGTATGACCTTGGCAACTTGGTTAACCTCTCTGAGCCTTGATTTCCTCATCTGTGAAATAAGGATGATCATGACTAATTCATCAAACTGTTGGAGAATTAAATATAATCAGGCCTGTGAAATGGGTAACAGGGTGCCTGGCACACACTGACAACTCTTGTTGGTGGCTGTTATGAGTAATCATTGTGTGGTGGTAGTTGTGGGTCTTTCGAGGTGTGTATTTCCATGTCGATGGCATACGTGGACCTATTTTTGTCTAATTTTATTTCACCGAACTGGAGTGAGGTTCTGGCCTTGTCTACAGGCCCAGCAGGTTTGCCAGGCCCCTTGGGAAAGCCACACGTGGTCTGGACAAACGGGAAGTGTCTACCTGGAAGGTCCGCCTTTTTATGACCGGGGGTGGAGCCAATCGCACTGAATTGAGGAGAGGCAGCAGCTGAGGAGAAAGATGAGTTGGAGGGCCAGAGGGCAAAGGCCAAAGATCCCAGGTATTCAGATCGATGCCGAAAGTCGCCAGGAGGGCAGGGCAGCCAAGAGGGACCAGAGCAGAGGAAGAGAGAAGAGAGATTAGCGTGCACATGAGCAGCGGGAGGAAGGCGTGGACAGGGTGCTCTCCTGGCTTGAGGGTGCAGAGCAGAGCTTGTCCTTGGATGGCACAGCTGTCCCTTGGGAGGAGCTGTGGCCATCACCCAGCCTTGAGCTCCAGGTCGGAGTTTAGGGGTGTTGGCCAGCAGCCCCCAGAATGGAACAGTGCCCACCGCCATGGCCAGGCTTGCCCTCTGTGGCCATGCTGGGCTGCAGAGGCTACTGGACATGCAGCCCAACATCGCACTGCCGGCCCCACCCATCCCTGCTCGCTGGACAGAAGGGAGCCAACTCAGAGGCTCTGGTCAGGGAGCCGCCAGGCCAGCAAAATTGGTACTTGAAGCTGGGCTGGTGTGCGGCTGGTGAGTTCTTTTTTTGGTTGAGCAAGAAAGGCTGGTGTCAGCACATCTGGGAGGGTGGTCAAGGGCAGTGCCAAGCCCGGCTCCTCGGGCTGAGCTGGCTGAGGGTGCGGCCAGTGTGGGGGCACATGCTAAGTGCTACTGAGGGCTCACCCTGGGGCTGGAGGGCCTGGAAAATAGAGGCTGGGCAAAGATGTCTCCAGAAAGTTCAACCACGTTTTTGAGGGAGGCAACTTGCAATCCTATTATCTAATGTGATTTTCATTTCTGGAAATTCTTGCAGCTTCCAGTCCCTCTACCGATTGAATCTGAGCAACCTGTGGCTTTAGGAGGCCCTTAGAACCCACGTGAAAAATAAAAAGATGGCATATACTGTCATCAGCCGCTTGTTTTTGAAAGCACTTAAATCACAAGCGACTCCCAGGATGAGCATTATGAACCAGAACTGCTGGGCTGCAAGGGTGCCCAGCTGTGGATCGGGAGCCTGTGTGGCCTTTCCAGGTTGCAGTGCTGCCTTCTGGGGCAGCAGTCACACAGAGCTCCAACTGCTCCCGCTGCCAGGGCCTGGGGATGTGCAATGTTGGGCTGTATGTTCAGGAAGCCTCTCAGCGGAGAGGGGCCAGGAGACCTTCCAGAACCTACAAACCTTCAGGGCAATTATCTGGCCGGAGCGCAGAGCTGCTGGCATGCTGCTTAGGCACTCCTAGTTTGGGAGGGGATGGAGTTGGCAGAGACAGGGCAACAGGGCACATGATGGGGAGCCCACAGACACCAGCTCCCCTGCTTCCCACCCCTCTCCTCTCCCTTTTTGGGGAAGCCACAGGCTGGAATGGAGGAAGAGTCACCTGAATCTCTTGGTGTCTTCTGGGCCTCGAGACCTACCACCCCAACCCTGCCTGCAGACCCCTTGGAAAGCCAACAGATCTCTAGAAGCCGCCTGATTTTCTGTCCTCTTTAAATAAACTTGCTCTGCCCCTCAGCTGGGACCCCAAATCTACTCCCCTGCCCCACACCTGACATGTTCCCCAGAGTGCCACTGTCAGGAGGTCATGTTTCACTGCACCCTGTGGCCAGGGGTCTTCTCCAACCTTCTGTCACTATGCCCTTCCCTTTCCTTACGTTGAGCTGAGGGTCAGAGAGCCCTGCACCCACCCCACCCCAAGCACTCACTAAGGACAGGTGACACACTACCAAAGCCTCTGCTGTTGTGTTGTCTTTTGTGCTGGGGGATGTTGTCTTTCTTTTGGGTAACATAACAATCCTGTGAGCCCATCGTTTCAAATAAACCCAGCTGACCTTCTATTATTGTATCAGAATCAGGCTGCCCGGAACAGTAGGGCCCCTGCCTCTCTGGAGCACGTGCCGCTGACAGGCTGGCTCTGCGTTGCTGCCGGCCTGCCTGCCTCCCTCAGCCCAGGCCCAGCAGCTGCCGCAGCCTTAAACCCATCTCAGCCTCTCACGTACCAGGCTCACAGTGGTTCCTTTGCCCAGGAATCCAGAGCTCAGGCCTGCCTTCCAGCCTCCTGAGGGTCTGGGCAGAGGCTGGGCCCTGTTAGCATGGCCCTCCTGACAGCCTTTTAGAGTCAAGCTGACACTGAGCCTTGCTTATGTCTGCCTCCACTCCCAAAAATCCCATGACCTGGACTGGCTGGCAGAAGCGGGCAGCCAGGGAAGCTGAGCACCAGGAGGCACGTGACAGAGGGGAGGGACACCTAAAGATGCCCATCCTCCATCTTGCTATCCAGGTCTGGGAGCAACAAGGCCCATCCACGAAATGAGGGGCATGTTTTCTGGGCCCAGCTCACTGGGGCTCCTGCTGGAGGAAGCTGTGCATATCTTGCTCTCCCCTGTCCCAAGTTGGACCCTGCTGCTGGAACACAAGGGTGACGATTCCTAACAGGACAGCAGCAGTCTTTTGGGTTCTGTATCTTGGGGTGGAGCAAGGAAAAGGAAGGAGCAGCTGGGGATGCACAGAGCAACCATCTCAGCCTGAAATCCCCACCCTGCTTAGGGAAGGGCTTCCTCTGATCTTATAGAGGCCAAGGAGAGACTTTATCCTTGAATTGCTACAGTCAGTCCCTGATTATCTCCCATTATTGAGGTTTGGATTTGAAATACCATCATCTGATACAATGACTAATCTCAAAGTCCCACTTTTTTGGCCACGGTTAGGCTACCAGACACCCCCTTCCCCCACCACACACGTTGGATGGCTGGGGAGTCAAACAGACTCAGACAATCTGTGCTGCCTCAGAGGGCAATGTGCAGAGGAAGCCACAGAGCTCCAGACACACAGCAAGAGGCTCCAACATACCGAGTCGGATGTACGTACAAAGGGGCAGATGTACAGACACGCGCAGGTGATGAGCAGCTCCACACAGCACATGGCCGGAGAAACACATCAGCTACTCCCGCCAGACACACCGCCACCCCAATCCCCGCTCTCTGATGGGCTGAGTGCAGAGGGCACTGGGTACTCTTGTTCCCCCACACTCTATTAGGAACTGGAGACCCCAGGGAGATGAGCCTGGGCTGGGGGCTGTGACCCAGGGATGGATTAAAGGGCTCTGCTCAGTTTTAGGGGTTCACTTACCCGGTGTGGGTACTCTCCGCACTGACCCTGGGAAGGAGAGGGAAGGGGAAGGGGGTGTTAGGCACTTGCTGGGACACCTGTCTCTCAGGCACCCCCAGGACTTCAGGACACGCCTCACATCTCATCACTCACCAGCCCTTCTGCTCTAGTTTTGGTCTGAGCCCTCTCAGGCAGAAGAAGCTAAGTCCCTCCCTTGACCCTGGCAAGCAGCAGGGAAGAAACTTCCAGGGCCTGCCTGGAAGTGGCCCCATGGAGCTGAGGGGCAAGGCTTTGCTTTACACCAGTTGCCATATGGCAGAGTCGGGAGTTATGCTCCATGCCTAGCTAAAGGTTGATCCTCTAGGCAAGTCCACCCGGCAGCCCTGAACAGGAGCCCCTTGGATGGGAGCAGCTGGCACCATGGGGATCCCCAAGCCACCTTCTCTGAGCTGGGAGCACCAGGCTCCTGTACCAGCCACCTGGGGCAAGCACGGCAAAGTCTCTATCAGAAATTCAACAACACAGAGAGGGCGGGAGGCCAGGCCAGTGGTTTGCAGATTGATGCCTCAGAATCCCAGAGGCTCATGAAGGTGTCAGGGAACACCATGGGGTGATAGCTGGGAGGGGCCAGAAAGAGGCTGAAGAGGGCCAGGCTCCAGGAGGACCCCTGGAAAAAGATGTCACCTGGGCCAGGCTCCAAGAGGACCCCTCACTCCAAGAAAAAGATGTCACCAGGAACGGTGTCAAGGGAATCTATTATGCCGCCCCTCAGGGTCGGTCAATTAAAACTAAAGTTTGAAAATAGCCACTATTGACCCCTTTCTGCCGGTTAGGAGGCCATTTCCTGAGATGGCACCTCTAGGAAACCTCCATTGCTCTTACCTTTTCTCCTTTTTGTCCCTGGGGTCCCTACAAAGAGACGGAGATGAGAGAGTTAGAAACCAAAGCTAAGGTCACAGCCACCCGAAGCTTCTCTGCTGGGAAATAGAAGGATGAGGTACCAACCTGCTGTCCTGGGGGACCTGTCAGACCCTGCGGGAAGCAAACACACACAGGTCAGTGGGCAGACAGAAGACGGGCATCTGGGGACACCTGCCTGGGTAGAGGTTGGATCTTTTTAGAATGCCTGGAATCCCAAGGGCTGAGCTCTGCCAGCCATGGCCAGGTCTTCCCATGCCCACCACGTTCAAGGTGGTGTGGCCTCATCTGCAGAGCCTCAGCTTCCTCACCCCCTAGTGGGCAGGATCAGGGGCAGTGATGAAGGACAGATGGTGTCTTTCATCCATTACTCCAACCACCAGCATCTCATGGGCCAGCTGTGGAGGGGCCGCACCTAGATATTAGTGAGTTTTCTGCTCCATAGGACACCCTGCCTCTTGCACACCAAGCCTCTGGGAGATGCTAGTGCGTTCCATCTCCTGCCTCCCAGGCTGCAGTGAAGTCCACTGAACCAGAGGGGTTCTGGCCTGGAGGGCTGGGCCAGTGTCTCAGACACTGGGAGCCTTGGAGAAACCTTCAGCAAAACAAAGGAAGCAGGAAGTTGGCAACTGAAGCCATGTTCTGGACTTCTTCAAGGAATGTCAGGAGCCTTGGCTGGGCACGGTGGCTCATGCCTGTACTCTCAGCACTTTGGGAGGCCGAGGCATGCGGATCACCTGAGGTCAGGAGTCTGAGACCAGCCTGACCAACATGGAGAAACCTGTCTCTACTAAAAATACAAAAATTAACCAGGCGTGTGGTGCATGCCTGTAATCCCTAGCTAGTCAGGAGGCTGAGGCAGAAGAATCGCTTAAATGCAAGAGGTGAAGGTTGCATGAGCTGAGATCGCACCACTGCACTCCAACCTGGGCAACAAGAGTGAGACTCCATCTCAAAAAAAAAAAAAGCAGGGGTGGTCTTGATATTTGCTTCAAGGCTGTCTTGTCCTGCACGGGACCAGGAAAGGAGCCGGGGTCGGGAGGGATCCTTGCTTTCTGAGGAGGGCCCAGCACACCCTGGCTATCTTGGTAGGGTACACTCAGGCTGGTATCGGGGGAAGGGGGGAAAACAAATGCCTTATGAGTTGAGGATCCACTCTGAGGCTGGCTCTTCAGGTATGTGCCTGTGAGGGAGATGCTTGTGTCTGCTCCAGCTCCCGAACGAGGTGACAGACAAGGCCCTGTGGCTTAGCCAATGGTGGCACTGGGACAGGAGCCCAGGTTTGTCTGATTGCCAAGGTCCAGCTGTTTCCACTCCACCAAATGCTCAGAACTGGGCCAAACCTTGGGAGTCAGAGCTTCTAGACTTGGCTAGAGCCATTAGCCCATCCCTTTGAGCCACCATCTTGGGGCCTGTGAGGACCCACCTGCTGGACCAGTCTGTCTGGGGCCTGAAGCACTGCGGATCCCCATGGGCGGGTCCATCTGGGAGGTGGCCGCAGCATGCTGTGATGTGCGAGAGCCTTGCTCCTGCTCCCGACTTGCCAACTGGGCTGCCTCCAAACTGGGAAACTCCCAAGAGTATCATTGGAAGGGAGAAGTGGCCTTTGGGATCATCCATATGGCACTCCCAGCCCATGTGGCTGGCCGAGCATTTATTTATTTTAGTGTTTTATTGAGACAGGGTCTCACTTTGTTGCCCAGACTGGAGTGCAGTGGTGCAACCTCAGCTCACTGCAGCCTCTGCCTCCTGGGTTCACCTGATCTTCCCATCTCTGCTTCACAACTGGCTGGGACTACAGGCACACATCACCATGCTGGCTAATTTTTCTTTTCTTTTTTTTTTTTTGTAGAGACAGTGTTTTGCCCTGGTGCCCAGGCTGCTCTCAGACTCCCAGACTCAAACAATCTGCCTGTGTTGGCCTCCCAAAGTGCTGGGATTACAGGTGTGAGCCACTGCGCTCAGCTGGCATTGTTTAGAGTGGAGTTTTGCAGCACGTGATTCATCTGGCACGGAACCCAGGCCGAGACCACAGGTGACCAGGTCATCCTCTGTCAGGACAGACATATAGGTGTGATGGGGGAGGGGCAGGCGGAGTTTTAGGACTGCAGAGACTTGACAATTGAGACCAGACATCCCAAACAGTGGCCCAGGGCACAGTCGTGGTCTCCATAGGGATTTCGTTTGTCCCACATGGTTTTATTTCAACTAGTTGCCAACACTTAAGAGCAAGCAGAGTGCAAATAAAAATCTGGATTTCAAGTTTCTCTTATTATGTTGAGGTCCAACAACAGATGGCACCAGTTATCTCCAGCCGGGCAGCGCTCGCTCCTTTAAGGGCCATGGCCACGGCCACGGCTGACGTGCTCAGCACTTGCCACCAGCCCTCCACTAACCACCACTGAAGCGCAGCTAAGGTGCCTGCCACTTCTCGTGTGCCAGGCGTGTTCTGAGTGCTCCCCTGCTCTTCCGACAGCCCTGTCGGTGAGTTTGGACTCAGTCCAGGCCCTGCTTTACAGCCCTGATGTCATTCCTGAGTCTCAGACCCCCAGTCCTGTCCACCCCGCAGCTGCACTATTGTACAACTGTGTCTTCCCAACACCTCGACACCTTATTTCAGGTTCTTGGGAATAACGTGAAGTGGGTAAGGCACAGGTGAGGACAACAAGTGACCTTTCAGCAAGTGAGGACACAGGTTAAATGCATGAGGGCGGGTGCCAGTGCCCTAGTAGGACACCAGTGGAGGGGACAGCATCTGGGGCGGAAGATGAACAGATGAACAGGCCAAGGTAATGAAGCTGGACAGTGGTGGGCAACTAACAGCTTGGGTCCCCATGCCAAGCCAGACAGGAGTCGCATGGCTCGGTGGCCTGCCAAATTTGATGAGGCAGGCAGGGGGCCTATCCCACTGATGTGGGCTCACCGGAGAGGGGGTGGGCCTGCCTTTTCTGTTGAGTTAGCTCTCATTCCCGAACAGATGGGTGGTCAAGAGCATGGGGCAGAGGAACGGTGTGGGCAGGGTGAGGGCAGAAAGTGAGACCCCGTGGAAGTACCCTGGAGGATGGTTCCCTTTCCTCCAGGACAAAGTGCCGGCGGCTGAGAGGAGGTGTGATTGAGGGGTAAGACCCCACCGCATGGGTCTGAATCTCAGCTCTGGTATTTAGGAGCTTTGTGACCTCAGGCAATGTACTTCGACACTCTGTGCCTCAATTTCCCCTCTCATGAAGTGGGGATGATAAGCTGTTATGAGGATGACAGAATGGTGCCTATAGGATGACCATTATTAATATTTCTAGGGGACCATGGGCTACCTTAGGGTAGCGTAAGGCTGCCAGAGAGGGAAAGAGGGCAGGGGATGGGGGCTGAAGGAATAAGCACCTCAAACCCTTTATGGCTCTGTAACAATGTGGCATGGCAGTTAATTCCTGCCTCCATCCCCACTACACCACGCATGTGCACAGCATGCCTAGGAACGGGGTCGGGTGGGAGGGAAATGCATTTGCAGTGGAGGCAGCTGTGATGGAGAGAAAATCTTGCTAGGGGACCTGGATTCCAACACCAGCTCTTCTGCCCACTGCCTCCTCTCCCCATGCCTTCCTGGGAGTTTCTGTTTGGAGGTTGGGCCAGTTGGCAAGTTGGAAGCAGGAGCAAGGGCTTCCCCTCCACATCACAGCACCCTGTGGCCACTGCCCAGATGGGTCTGCCCAGGGAACTGGAGTGCTTCAGGCCCCAAAAAGGTGGAGAAGCAACAGTTGCTACTGGCCAGGTGTGCACGCTCCCTGGATCTCCCATCCTCATGCTTCAGATGGAGAAGCCCCTGCCCATTTCTCTTCCCTGCACATTGATGTGATGATCCAGGGCATGTGGCTTACACAGCTGGGGAGTGACCAGTAAGGGCAGCCATTCCTGCTGTCCCTGCGGGACCTGCTTTGCAGTGCTTGGCTGTGCCTGTGAGGCCAGGCCAACCCCCACCCATCTCGAGAAGGCAGGAAATCTGGGCTCTTACCATCTCCCCCTTTGGTCCCGGGTGGCCCTAGAAGGAGAAGAGGGTGAGTACCAGGTGTGCTGTTTGTGGCCCAGATGTTCCACCCCCTGCCCCCCATGCCCCTCCCTGCACCCCATGCCCCTCCCTGCTCCCCATGCTCCTCCCTGCACCCCATGCCCCTCCCTGCTCCCCATGCTCCTCCCTGCCCCCGGGCTCCATTTGTGCCTTCTGGCTTGTATCCTCCTTCACCCAGTCCCTAAGGCAAGGCTATTTGCTCACTGCCCCTCACTGGGCCTCACTAGCAGCTGCCTGCCCTTCAGAGAGCAGAGGTGGGGGTAGTCTCCTTGGACCCCGACCCTCACCCCATCCGCATATCCAGGTTAGTTTTGGAGAATCCCTGGCCTTGTAACATGAGTGGAAATTCTTGCCGGTGCCCCCCGGCTGCACTTAGCTTGCTGGTCTTTAGTTGGGGAGTGACAACTGAGAGAGGCGAGCAGTGGGGACAGGCCTGGCTGTGCGTGGGGCCACATTCCATCCACCCTGAGGGCTTTGGATGAGTCATGCTCCCTTCCAGCTGACTTGCTCCTAGGACTGGGGAGGGGACTCCTTCCCCCCATGAACATTTGTGCCAGGGGACCAAGTCCAAAGGATTGAAATGAATGAAGAGAGGAGCTATGGTGGGAAGCAGTCTTCACATGGACTTGAGCACATGTGTGGGGTCTCAATCAGGGAGGGAGACCCTGATCTTGAGGACAGGGCCATGGGAGACACAGGTGCTATGGAGCAGGGGCAGGCATGTGCACAAGTAGACAGGCTCCTTAGACCAGCGATTTCACCCCTGCAGCCTCCACTCTCCCCACTGCCTCCTGGCCTCACCCCCACCCCACCCAGAATCACCCATTCCAGGGATGGCTGTCTCCTGGACTCTGAAAGCCAAGCTGAGCACCTGGGGACCTGTGCCCTTGGGAAGGCCAGTGGGGTCAGGGGTAACCTAGAGGGTCTCCTCCTCCTCCCACTAGTGACAACCTTCAGCCCCAGGACTTTTCTTTCTAAGTAAAGCATCTTCCAAGGAGCCAGGGTCTTGCAGAAGGACCAAGAGATCCAGGATCACTGACCTGCAGTGAGGAGGAGGAGCGGGTCCACTTACCGGTTTGCCGTCCAGCCCAATGGGACCCTGAAACCAGAAAGGCCAGATGTAAAGACTGAGCGTCACATGCCTCCTCCCAAAGAGGCTGCCTGGGCAGTGGGGAAAAGCACAGATTCTGGATTCTGAGAAGTTGGAGCTCAAGGCCCGGCCTGACTGCATACATGTTATGTGACCATGGGTAAGCCTAGGCCTCAATTTCCCATCCCGAAATGGGGCTGAGAGAAATAGAACGTTCTACGAAGGGTCCCTGTGAGGAGGGAATGAAATGCTGGATGCCAGGGGCACAGCTCAAGAGAGAGCCCAATGGGTGGCCTCCCCATTAATGTCAAAGACGTCACCCTTGCCCTGAGGGCAGAGGGGGTGATGTGTCCCTAGAAATCAGGGTCTGGCCTGCACTGAGGCCGGGAAAAAAGGGGAACTGCTCCCTCTGCTCTGCCTGTCAGAACCTGTCTTAGGCCCCATAGGCAGAGGTCAAGGACACCCAGATGGCCACCCCACTGCTGGATCTCCTCTCAAAGCCCGGGCACAGGCTGAGCTGCAGGGTGATCTCCTGCAGGGCATCGTCCATTCCATATTCCCAGGTCATGCTGGGGTTTATCAGCCTGTGACTTCACTCACAGGAAGCCGGTCCTGTTGCCCCTTATTTGTATATTTGCTTCCCTGTATTTATTCCTGGCACCATGACCTGACTGCTGAGCTACTGTCCTAAGTTGGTGTCCATGAATGGCTGCAGAAGCAGGTCCTTAATGACCAAGGTTGGAAGGGAAAGAGTGGAACCAGGGCTGACCACAGACGAAGTTTAACCTAATCAGGCCTACAGACCACCTGGGACACAGCTAACTTCAGCCTTCTCTACTTACCGGAAATCCAGGAAAACCTCGAGTGCCTGGTTGACCCTGAAAAAACAAACAAACAAACAGGAGACAAGTAAGGTTGAGCAAGGAGGAGACGCAGCCAATCCCTGGCCCTCCAGGTCATCTGTGCTCCCATCCTGTCTCCCTCTGTGTGATTGTCTTTGGGGGACACTCACTGTGGTTAGCAGATTGGGAGGGAAGATGCAGAATGAGGAAATGGAACATCACAGGAAATCTCCAGGCGGGGGCTGGGGGTGGGAAAGGAACAGGAAGGGGCTGGTGTCCTTTGAGTCTACTTCTGGGAGGCGGCCCTGGAGAGGTCCTCACCACTGTGGATGTGTGGCTTGTAAACAGATGCATGGGACAGCAAGGACAGCAGACACTTGGCCCGCAGCACACTGAACTTCTGGACGGCGATCATCTAAGCCCTTTTTTATTTACACGGTCATTGCTCATGCCACTTATCTAAGGATGGCTTGGATATCAGAACTTGACCTTCAAAATGTGTGTTTTTAGCTAGAAAAGGTCAGATTGCTCCTGTTCCTCTCACCCTGGCCAGCAGGCTTCTCCTAGCAATTGGGCAGTGTCTGAGCATCCCCTAATCTTTGTGGCATGCAGAGCAATCCATGCTCATTTTCCTGGAGGTGCAGAGTGCAACACAAACAAATATTTTGGATGGAGACTAGAAGCAGGTTCACTGGTCACAGTCCAGTGGTTTATGATCAAGATTCAGGGCAAAGGGGATGTGCTGAGATGAGAAGCAGCCCAAGGCTGTGATGATGCAGGGCTGAGGGATGACCAGGTGGTCAAGGGTGATGGAGAGCTAAGACACTGAGTCTTGTCACCCGCTTTCTCAAGGACCAGCAAGGGCTCCCTTCTACCATGTTCAAGGTCATGCCTCAATTCCGTCCTGATCAACCATGTTAAGTTCCTTTCCTGCCACACATTTCCATCTATTCCCTGCTCAGACACACTGGCTCACCTACCGTTCACCAAACAAACATGCCCAGTTCTCAGCTTGGGATCTTCTTTGGCTGACACTGTCATAATCTCTTCCCAAGCATGGGCTTTCTAGACTGGCAGACTAAATTCTAATCCTGCCTCCAACTATGGCTGTGTGACCCCGAGCAGGTTGTCTAACCTCCCAGAGCCTCAGTTTCCTCATCTATAATATAGAGATAACCGGAGATAACAGTATAACCCCATAGGATCATCAAATTCAAATTAATTATGTTTGTAAAGGCTATTGAAATGGTAGCTGCCATCGTCAGACACTTGTTGAATTGAACTAAACAGGGAAGCTCCAGAAAAGAGCAAGGTTGCTGTTGGGCTCAATATGTCCTGGGATCAATGAAAGTTTGTCCTTGTCAAGCAGCAAGTTTTAGAATCAGATCCTCTCCAGAAGATTTCTCAGGATTCATCTGCTATGACCCTAAAACATCTCCAGGCTGCTAGGGTCCTCCTTGAAGCCATGAACACGAGTGCCCAGTGGCCTGTGCTCAGGGAACACGTCAGCTGGGTGGGATGGGCACCCTGCCATCAGGATGGGTGCCCTGGTTCAACAGGGAGCTAGTTGAAGTCTTCCGCAGGCTTAGGATGGGCTTGTGGCAGCCATCCAAAAGGGCATGAGGGAGGAGATCCCATTCGTCTATCGGAAGGGGCCCTGGCTTTTCTCCTCCCAAGGATAAGTGATGCTAAGAATAGACCAAGGAGAAAACCCGGAAACCATGCAATGTCATCTCTGAAACCTCCCAGTGTAAACTTTCTGTAAACTACTCTGCACACCAAGCGGCCTGAAGTAAAGGTCAGGAGGAGAGGATTCCAAGAAACATCTTCAATCCCAGTAGGGACAATGTTTACGTGGTAGGGATAATCACACAGTTTGCTAATTACAGAGCCTGCCCTGGTAGCAGGATGCATCTCTCCAACCCAGGACCAAATCCAGGGCTAACCAAGGCTTTTTCAGAGATCTTGGGAAGGCTGTTGTCTTGAACCAAGTGGAAACTGGGACACCACTTTCTGGAGAGGCTGGGCCTGGGAAAGGCATCTGGGGAGACTTGGAAGTAGACTTTAATTTATATCTCTTCAATTATACCCTGAGGTTAGAATCGCTTCCAACGTTTCTCTGCCTGTTTCTCTTTACCAGTGTTTTCTGCTAGGTTGCTTTTTTCCCACTGATTTGAGTGAAGCTCTTTGTCAAAAATAAGTCTCTGATAATCATATATGTAGTGACTATTCTTTCTAATTTGGCATTTGTCTTTGATTTTGTTTCTAGTGCGTTTTATATTTATATGGACAAACTTAATCTTCTCCTATGGCATTTGGGTTTTATGCCATGTTGAAAAGGGCCTTCCCCCATTCAGAATTATAAAATGGTCACTCATGCTTTGTCTATTTTATGGTTTCCGGTTTTATATCTAAATATTTTGTTCATCTGGAAATCATTCTGATATAATAAATACATTGGCGTTAATAATAAAAAAACTGCCGGGCGCGGTGGCTCAAGCCTGTAATCCCAGCACTTTGGGAGGCTGAGGCGGGTGGATCACGAGGTCGAAAGATCGAGACCATCCTGGTCAACATGGTGAAACCCCATCTCTACTAAAAATACAATAAGACTAGCTGGGCGTGGTGGCGCATGCCTGTAATCCCAGCTACTTAGGAGGCTGAGGCAGGAGAATTGCCTGAGACCAGGAGGCGGAGGTTGCGGTGAGCCGAGATCGTGCCATTGCACTCCAGCCTGGGTAACAAGAGCGAAACTCCGTCACAAAAAAAAAAAAAAAAAAAAAAAAAAAAAAAAAAAATAATAATAATAATAATAATAATAATAATAAAACTGACAACTGCCTTTCATTTTACCTTTTTCTAGGTGGCTGATTGGTTGCCCCCGCATCATTTCTTGAACAATTTATCTTGCTCTTCCTATTGTGAAATGAAACCTTTATCACGTACCAAATGGACACATGCATTTGGCTTTATTTCTGGCCTCCCCATTCTGTTCTGTTCATATGTTTATTTGGATTGTCCTGTTTTTATAATACATTTTGGTATCTAGAATTTTGTTGGATTCCTAATCTCATGAAAAATGGACAGAGATTAGGATCACATTAAATGCATAAAAAATAGATGTATTTGTACATTAATTCATGGTTTACTATTACACCCTTCTGTACCAGAACAAAGTAAATAACTTTACATTGATCTCTGAATTCTTCTCCCTTAATTCACGGTCAGAACAAAAAGGGAGCCAAAGGGGGTCCCCACTTCTGAAAGTGGACCCCCTACTCCTTCCTGCCTTTCTCCTACTGGCAAATACACAGACAGAAGGTTCTTGTTGGGAAAAACCCACCGGGAAGTCCCCCTTCTCTTATTTGACCCAAGAGATAGTCAGTTGTGTCTCTGCCCAGGGGCTGCCTCATTCTACCTCCCTCACTCCAAGTCAGTACCAACGAGACTCCATGCTGGTAAATGTCTAACCATTAGCCAGGTGGGGGAGGGTGGAGAGGAGAGCCCTGCATTGCACACCATTTGCCAATGTCTGTGGTGTAAATACACCTACCATAGCTGATTTCAAGCTACCAACGTAAGGTCACTGAACACAGCTGGGAGGAGGCGAGGTGTGCATGGTCCACTCTTGCCAGGGATGGCTCGAGCCACCGGGTGATGGGGGTCAAAGTCAGAGGCTGCTGGGCCTGGTGTAAGATTCCTGGTACGATAAGGAAGCCAGCTCCGGCAGACCACATGCTCTGACCTCCAGCAGATGACTGTTCCTATTGGACATTATGGCATCTCTAAGTCATCACGCTCAAATTAAACACATCTCCCCTGGTAACGGAGATAAGTTTCCTTAACCGGGGAGATGAGTTGAATCCCTTCTGGGGAAGGGGACTCTGTTACTCAAGTCAGAAATGTGGCATCATCTTGAGCTCCTGCTTCTCCCTCAATCCCCGTTTTTTATCATCACTAAATCCTCCAATTCCATCTCCAAAACAGCTTGCAAGTCCAGCCCTCCTGGCCAGCCCACCGATTCCACTCCAATCCAGGACTTGGCTGTTGCAAGTGCCTTCCAGCCAGCCTCCCACTGCAGCCTCTTCTAAATATGCTGCATCCTGGGCCTTCTAAAACCTTTTCAACTGCAAATCTGGCTTTTTACTACATCAGCCTAACACAACCTACAGTCTCTTCACACCTTCAGGACGAAGCCCAACCCCTGACCATAATGTAAGGGCTTCTCACTGGTCCTTGACTGCAGTGATTATCCCTTCCTCCAGGAAGCCTTCCTTGCCTACCCTCCTCCCCCAAGTCTGGTGCCTCCTCCTTGTCCCACAGCTCTCTAACCATCCCCCTGCTTAGTACTTGCTGTCTGCACTGTCATGGATTATGTGCTTGCTGGTCTCTCCCACTAGATCGTGTACCCAGAGCGCAAGCTGACTGAGGTCAGGTTTCCACTGTCTACACAGCACCTAGCAGGCACTGGGCTCTTAACAAATATGAATGGAGTGAATTACACACTCGGTAGGTGTGTCTAACTGGTGAGGGGTTGCTCCTAGTGGATAAAGACTGGAAGTTCAGATATCTCCTGGCCCCAGAAGAGAAGCTGGGGAGCTCAGAGAGGGAATGTGCCCCCTTTGAGATGGGGCATTTCCTAGGACTGGCAGATCCCCTGCCCAGGGCCTGCTGGGTCTGCCGGCATCTCAGGGGACCAGCCTTCCCCTCGGTTTAATGAGGCTCCCTTAAAGTCAATGTGCCCCAACACTGTACTCCAGCTTGCTTCATTAGAAAGTGTACCCTCCTCCAAAGTGCTTGGAGGGGTCCCCCCTTTGCTTGGACCATTTATCAAGCTCCAAGAGGGGAGGCAGGTGGCCTCTGAGAGTGGCAAGGTTGGTTCTTATTAGCAACATCTATCCTGGACCCTTCCTGGCTGAATGGAAAGCCACCCGTTCTCCATCACCCCTGGCTGCCACCAAGGGCACCCACCTGACCTCTCCCCATTAATGACTAAATGGACTCTTTGTCTTCCCCCATCCCTGCTCCCGTTAGCTCAGGGCAGCTTCCTGAAGGAGCTGAGGGGGTTGCCCCTGCTGTCCAGTGGGGAATCAGCAGGGATGGCTCCAGCCGCTGGGTGATGGGGGCCAAAGTCAGAGGATGCTGGGCCTGGTTAAGATCCCTGGTACGATAACACCTTTCCTGGTGCCAGTGTAGGCACCCGCCTGGAGGATTTTCTTTCTCCTGAAGTAAATATCCTTTCAGACAGTAGCATTTCAAACACTGAACGGGGCGTTGAGGCAAGCATGCAGGCTTCGAGGTGAGGCTGACCTGACCAAACCGAAGCTCGGGAACTTACTAGTTGGGTGACCACAGGTTAGGAAACTGTTTTCTCCTCTGTAGAATGGGCTGGTGGGTCCTGCCTTACGGCTATGAAGGAGACCTACGATGTGATAGGTGCCTGGGAGACAGACGCTCTCACTGCCACCTGAACAGAAGGTGCTGTTCAGCAACAAGTCAAATCCAGTGCAGCAGGTATGTTTCTGATTAGATGTGTGTGCTGGGCTGAGGCCAGGAGGAGCAGAGGCCAACCATTGCCCTGAACACGTCTCCAGCAGTGGAGCTTTTCAGTAACTTTTCGGGAGCCTGTTGACATAATTTGCCAAAAGCATGTTAGAGGACCAGTGAAATCATCTGTAGCCAGACCGGAAGGCAGACAAAGATGGCAGCCCAGGATAGGGCCTGTGTGCAGTGTGACTGACTCCCTGTCCTCCTAACACACCAGGCTCGGTCCTCTGTTCCAACCGGGAGGACTGACTGTCCTCTGTTTCTGTGACCTTCCCATCATCACCTTCATCAGGACCACCTCGGCCAGGGCATTGGCGCTGCGCCTCCTCCAGTACACAGGAGGCCCGAAGCCCATCGGGGCAGCCACTGTGTTAGCCCAGCAGCACGTGCCACAGTGACATCAGGCCTGGCCAGTCCATGGTGGCAGCAGGGGTCAGAAGCAGACTGGAGCCACATGGCCTGGCTGAATGCTGAGCTAGCAGTGTGGCCACATGCCAGCCTGTGGCTCTGGGCAAGTCACTCAGCCTCTCTGTGCCTCAGTTTTCTCATCACAGTCCCTATGTCATGGAGTTCTTATGAGGATTAAGTGAGTGAATATGTCTAGAAGTCTTAAGATAAGGCTGCCACAGAGGAATTGTGAAGCATGGTCATTATGGTTTAAGCCCAGAAGAAAACCTTGCTGTGAAGGCCATGTCTACTCAGCCCTGGACCATCCAAGTGCTGCCTCCGACCCAGCCCCTGACCTGTCTGCCAGCCTGGCTCTCCCGTCCCTGCTCTCCCTCCCAAACTGGCTTCACCTCTCAGCTCCCTGCACTGGCCACAACCCTTTGCTTGGCATTCAGTTCACTGTGGGCCTCTTCTCTTGGATGTAACCTAGCCATTTGTTCTCCGCCCTCTCTCCCTCTGCGGGGGTCTCAGTCTCCCAGAGGCTAGCCCTCCGCTCCCACCGCTCACTTAGCACGGCGGGTCTGGAAAAGTCCAGAAGGTGGAGTCAGCAGCCTGTTGTGCTGCTGTGGTGAGGCCAGGGCGCCTCGGTTCTAATTCCACCCAGCCTCTACATGGGAGACCCCTTCCCCTCTCTGAGCCTCAGTTTCCCTTTCTGAGAGGGCTTCATTAGACCATTTCCGGGATCCTTTCACCCTGACGTGGTGATTTTATTACAGCCGCGTGGCTCAGCACTCTGGGAAAATAACAAGCCTTTCCTCCCACAGCCTTGATATCTTAGTAGCTTCATCACCCACACCCCCATTTCAGTACCTAAGGAAGCACATCTGAGGGAAGCCTCACGGGTTTTCTCAGGCTCCCAGCCAAGGGGTGGAGGGTACTATGAACACACAGGACCCAGCACTGCACACAGAGGTGTCTTAGAGGGTGAGTGCGGGCGGGGCCTCTGGCGAGACCAGGAGTGCGTGCCTGGGTCAGTGAACCCCAACTCATATCTGCTCTGTGGGCTTCCAGAAATAAAGGCTTGTTCCCGGGAAAGCCAGATCACCCCATCTGGAGGAGAGCGAGCCCTTTCTCCCTTCTGTCTGTAAACAGCAGGGCCGCCTCGCAGCTGCTGTAGTTTCGTGGCTAGAGGGCAGGTCCCTCAGAACCTCCCAGGGGGCTGTAATTTAGGTATATTTAGTCAGGCCACTTTCCCTAACATCAACATCGGCACGGAGGCCTGGTTGGGCTGACCACATCACATGCGGTGGCCTCCCCACCCAGGGGCACAGCCGCCCTCGCTGTCCCCTCATCCCCAGCCTAAAAGCCCTTTTCATCAACTCACCCATCCCCCCCACACCCCCGAAGAAGAGCAAAAACAACTTACAGGGGGGCCGCGGGGACCAATGATGGACAGCCCAGCGTCTCCGGGGGACCCCTGCAGGGGGAGAGAAAGGGGGAGAGGGAGCGCGGGGCAGGGAGCATGGAGAAGAGGAGCCGTAAAGAGAGGAGCCAAAGGGAAGGAGCTGGCAGGGGGTGAGAGCGAGACGCTGGCCCCAAGGGACAGGAGGAGGAGGCGGCCAGGGGACATGGAGGGCCATGAGGGGATCAGCAGAGGCAACACAGAGGGCATAGGGGCACAGAGGGAGCATTCAAGACGGGTTGGGAAGGGCAGGTAGTGGAGGGAAGTGGCAAGAGGGAAAGGAGAAGAGGTGTCAGCGAGAGCGCAGGACATGGGGTTCCCGGGAAACAGGGTGGTGGGACCCCAGGCCGGGGAAGCAAGAAGGATAGGATCCATTGGAGTGGCGGGAAACAGGGAGGCACAGGGAGAGAGGGGAGACTTAGCAAGGGTGCCCAGTCCCAAGCCTCTCCCCGGCCCGGCCCAGGACGCTTTCCAGCCCTCCAAATACCCATCTGGCTGCACACCCTGCGGCTAGCGAACAGGGATCTGCCTGAGAAGGGGGCTGTGAAAACAGAGGGTGGGGACACAGGCAACATGCGTGCTGTGTAGACCCAGCATCTCTGACCCTGAAAGGCTGAGCTGTCTCAAATTTCCTAGTCTCGGTTTCAGAATCACATGGAGGGGTGAAGGTTGGGGCAGAATTGTCAGCTCTGAAAGGCAGGCAGATGCTGCTGAAGGAGGAGCTTAGAGTGCTGTCAAGGGTGGCTGAGCTAGACAAGTGCCATGTGTATCCCCAAGTTCAAGGTCTTACTCTGCCCAGAAAGTCACAAAACCTCTCTGAGCCCACACCTCCTCTGTGAACAGGGATGCTGAGAGCGGCTCTGCTGCCCTTAGGGAAAACTCATTTTGGAAAATGTCATGCCTTACATGCAGGGGAGGTGTGATTTCAAATTAGTTACTGTTTATGTCATGGCAATGATACAATAATTTTTATACAAGGCAGTGTAGTGTCATGGTTAAGAGCCAGAATGCGGCTGGGTGCAGTGGCTCGTGGCTCATGACTGTAATCTCAGCACTTTGGGAGGCCGAGGTGGGTAGATCATGAGGTCAGGAGATCGAGACCATTCTTGCTAATGTGGTGAAATCCCATCTCTACTAAAAATACAAAAAAATTAGCCAGGCATGGTGGCATGCACGTGTAGTCCCAGCTACTCAGGAGGCTGAGGCAGGAGAATCCCTTGAACCCAGGAGGCAGAGGTTGCAGTGAGCCGAGATCGCACCACTGCACTCCAGCCTGGTCAACAGAGCGAGACTCCTTCTCAAAAAAATAAATAAATAAAAAATAAAAAAAAAATTTAAAAAATAGCCAGCATGCCTGGATTTGAAGCCCAGCTCTGCTAGCCACCAGCTGTGTGACCTTGGGAAAGCGACTTAATGTCCCTATGCCTGTTTTCTCTTCTGTGAGGATACAGATGGCACCTGTCTCTTAGGGTGGATGTGAAGATGTCATGCGATAATGTCAAGAACTTAAAAAAATGCCTCATCCATGAAAGGGGTGATGTGTCTTTCTCCTCAGTGGTTTAGCCCCTGCCAATGTGGAGCTAACGGTCTAGTTTCATTTTGGGGACAGAATGGCATGGTAGCTAGGGGCCCTGGCCTTGGAGTCAGACACACTGCGGCACCTCTCCAGCTCTGCCACATTCTAACTGTAAGACCCGGAGCATGTGACTTGGCCTCTCATCCATGCCTCATGTAAATGGGAATATTAAAGCTTCCCTGGAAAGGTGGTCAGTGCTAGCTTGGAAAACAGACAACAAACTTAACAGTGCACATGACAGAGTTTGTGTTTAACACGTGGCAGCTGTATTGTAATTGTCGAGGTTGTTATTTAGGAGACGGAAAACTACTGCATTACAGGCAGGGAAGTGTGGAGCTGGGCACCAGGAGGCCTGGCTTGGAGCCCCTGCTCATCACGATTGCTGTGCAACCTTGGGCAAGCACTGGGCCTTCCTTGGGCATTAGATGAGCTTCCTCATCTGTAGGGTGAGCTCGTTAGAAGTGTTGTGCTCGGCCAGGCATGGTTGTTTACGTCTGTAATCCCATCAACTGTGGGAGGCTGTGGAGGGTGGAACAATGTGGTGAAACCCTGCCTCTACTAAAATTGCAAAAATTAACTGGGCATAGTGGCGGGTGCCTGTAATCCCAGCTACTTGGGAGGCTGAGGCTTGAACCCAAGAGATGGAAGTTGCAGTGAGTTGAGATCGTGCGACTGCACTCCAGCCTGGGTGACAGAGCGAGACACTATCTCAAAAAACAAACAAAAAAAAGGTGGTGTGCTCAGAAATCTCTCAAGAACTCCCCAGGGCTGATGTTCCAGGATGGCTTCTGGGGTTATGACTTCTCAGGGGGACTCTACTCCATAACCTCAGGGGTCCCCCTGGGCAGTTCCAGCTATACTAAATTGCAATTGGCCAGAGCGGTGAGGCCACATGCCACCAGGGCAGGGCAGGGAGACCCGCTCAGCTGGGAAAGCTGGGACCGCCGCCCAGGAATCCCAAGACTGCTGCCCGATGGTATGGAAGCTGTTAGGAAACTGTGCTGTGAGACGCTGTGAGGGCAGCAGGCCCTGCCAGCACCCTCTGCTGGGGCTTTCATCGGGGAGGAGGGTGGAGAGGCTCCCCATCAAGAGTCCACCTGGAGGAGGAGGCTGGGTGCAGGGCAGAAGGGGAAAGCGTGGACTCACCTTCTCGCCTGGTTGACCCTTTACTCCCTGGGGCAGCCACATGCAACACAGGGTGCAGGAAGAGAGAAGGAGGAGAGAAAAAAGAGGGGATGAGAAAGAGGCACCCACACGAGAATCCGTGTTCATAGCACAACAATCAAACAAGAAATCACCGTGAAATAAGAAACAAAACAAAACACAGATGCTGACACGTGACAGGTCCATCTCCAACAAGCACAGCATGTGGCATGTGGAAGTGGCTGCTCCAGGTAACTGAGAAACAGTGGCTGAGGCTGCAAGAGGCCCTCTTGAGGCGTGTGTGTGTGTGTGTGTGTGTGTGTGTGTGTGTGTGTGAGAGAGAGAGAAAGAGAGAGAGAGAGAGAGAGGGAGGGAGAGAGCGAGCACGTGCCAGATGATGGAAGAGAGACAGAGGTAGAGATAGAGAAAAGAGAACAAGACCCCACCTAAGTCAAGAAGTCTTCCCCAGTTGGGCACGGTGGCTCACACCTGTAATCCCAGCACTTTCAGAGGCTGAGGAAGATGGATCACAGGGTTAGGAGGTCAAGACCAGCCTGACCAACACGGTGAAATCCCATCTCTACTAAAAATACAAAAACAATAGCCGGGTGCAGTGGCAGGAGCCTGTAATACCAACTACTCAGGAGACTGAGGCAGGAGAACAGCCTGAACCCAGCGGGTGGAGGTTGCCGTGAGCCAAGATTGTGCCACTGCCCTCCAGCCTGGGAGACAGAGTGAGACTCCATCTCAAAACAAACAAACAAACAAACACCAGAAATCTTCTCCAGAAGCCACGGCCCCAGCTGGTCGGGGTACTCTGAGGTTGGGGTGGGGATGGGGGAGAACTGCCCCCGTGTGTTGTGACACTGGTGTCTAGGAGGTTTGCATGTCCAGCTGAACACCAGTAACAAAGCTTTGCCAAGCTAGACAAGCCCGGAGTCCTTGGGGCTGGCCAGGCAAGGTGGAGGGAGGGGTCATGGAGAAACACAGGAGGCCAGAAGGCAGGACACACACCTCTGGAAGGATGGAGCATGGGTCAGTGAAGCAGCAGAGCGGGGTTAGGTGGCCAAGGGTCCCTTGCAGTCACAGTGACCAGTAGATGGACAGTCCACCGTACTCTGGACAGGCCAATGACGCCACCTCTGGTAAACCCCAGGGATGACCCAGGCATGTCACACCTACTGGCCATCTCACTCCTGATCAGGTGGCTCATGCCAGGACCCCTCCTGGGCAGCCAAATGGGCCCATTGTCACATTTAAAATAGCACCAGCAGCCAGAGTGGCTTGAAAATAGGCCTGCCAAGAAGGAAGTGGGGAGACCCCCTGCAGCTCCCTTCCTTCACCCCCCACCCCATGGTGGGGCACCACACAGCTCAGGGGGACACTTCCTGGGGGGAGGTGTCCACAGGGCCCAAGAAGGAGGGAAGGATGGGGAGGCCTGGAGCTGCCACTTTGCATTTTGCAGACTTCCCCGTGGGCTAGTCTCTGCACTCAGGGAAGAAGCTCCTGAAACTTGCCTACTGGGAGCAGGGACTTCAGGGTCCCACAGCTGGCTTGGGCCCAAAACCCAACTCCACCCTATTTCAGGTGCAGTGAGTCTCAACACCTTCATCCGTAAGACAGCGGCTTAGAGGGCAATGGTGGCTCAGGCCATCGAGAAAGGATGGCTGAATCACATTTCCCTGCTCTGTACAGAACCTCTGACAGCTTGGGTGGACTCAGGATCTGGAGTTAGAGAAGGGAAGAAAAGAGACAGGGCCGGGCAGCAATTTCACTATGCTCTGGTCTGGGAAGTGGTGGGAGAGCTTCATGTGGGGCGGCCCAGGGCTCCCAGCCTCTACGCCTTGATAGACAGGCCTTGAGTGGGCCCTGGAGAGAGCTCTGTAACATGGAACGCTTGCCCTGAACTCTAAAATATCCCAGGCCACTGGGGCTTCATTCTAAGGATCAGACCCTCCTCAGAATTGCAAGGCTAATGAGGGTGGGTGGTGAGCCGTGAGATCCTAATATTGTCAGGATCAAGAGCACAGGTTTGGAGTCGGGCTGTCTGAGTTCAGATTCCTGCTCAGCCACTTCCTGTGTGACCTTGGGAAGGACATTTAGCTTCTGAGCCTCAGTTTCCTCATCTGCAAAGTGGGGGTGGAAACTGTGCCTACGTCATGCAGTTCTTGTGAAGCCTGAGTAACCTAACATATGGAAGGATCTTAGCACAATGCCGGCAAGCAGTTAGCGCTAGCAAGGGTCAGCTATCCATCCTTTGAATGCCTTTTCTCAACCTCTGAGCACCAGCAGGCTCACACCAGGCGTGCAAATTCACACAAGGATGCCACACTCACTCCTAGAGCCGATCCCATGAGATGCTGAGGCAAAGCTGAGAATGACATGGGGGTGGTCAGGAGTCCTGGGGAGCCAGGTGGAGGGGGAGGCTGACGGCGGATGGCTGATGGGAAGTTAGGAGTCACGGGGGAGAGCAGCTGAGGCCATGTCCCAGCCGAGGCTGGAGAGTGGTGAGGGTGGGCATGACTATCACTACCCTAGGCTACTTACAGCCCTACGCAGGCACTCAGGGCCTGCTGCTGGCCTTCCCATTTCTGGGAAACAGTCTTTCCGTCAAACATTCTCATCTCCGAAACATGGAATGTTTTAACTCTCAGCCTCCTCATGAGGACTTGGAGTTTCCACCTGGAACCAGGCCCTGTCCTCACCATCCTTTAGCGCATCTGCGTACAGAGAAGAGCTCTGGGAACCCTGGCTGCACCGAGGGGTAGCTGCAGGAGCAGCTGTGCATCTGAGGGTGAACTGCTAGCTTTGGGGGACGGAGTGGGAGTCCTCCCAGTGTTGAGGCTCAGTTTGTTCCTCCCCTGGTTCCCAGCAGGTGACTGGCAAAGGGCTTTGTTCATGCAACTTTTTTGGCCATTTCCTTTGCTGTGGCAGCTCTCTGGAGAGTAAAGCCGTATTGCGGGGTCTGAAGGACTAGAATGAAACTTTCCTTCTCCTTCCTTGTCCCTCTCTGAAGCACACCGGGGCCTGGGGAAGGGAAAGTGCTGATCCTCTCCTTGGGGCTGGGGTAGACAGCACATTGCCATTGTTTAGAGGACAGGCCAGCACGGAGAAGCAAGCAATGGCCACCTAAGCAGGTGCAAACGGGCTAACTCACCACACGTCCAGGCATCCCAATGGCACCTTTGTCCCCCTGATGATGAAGGAGGCGGAAACAATCAGATGTGGTTGGAACCAGGCTAGCATGTGAAGGATCCCACAGGCAAGCTGTGCACCTGATTTAGGGCACAGCTAAGCCAGTTTGCAGCTGGGACGACATCCTGTATGATGCCCAAGCATCATGTAGGTGCTCCCTATGCAGCTCCCAAAGACTATTCAGCAAGTGGCCACTGCCATGTTTATGCGTACTTAGGCATGAGTGTTGCGGAAAGAGCACCGAAGGAGGAGTCTGGGCCCAGCCTGGGCCTCAGTTTCCCTATGCCAATTCAAGGCCCTTGCTCCCTTAGACTTCACTGTTGCATCGATTCCAGCAATGGCCAGGATGTGCCTCATCTTTATCACGCACAACTTCAAGGCCCAGAGCGGGGTGACTGGCAGCTCCCACGTGACAGAAGGGTGAATCACTTTCCTCGGTCTGTCTCTGCCAGGGCTGGAGAGCAGTGCTCCTCCCCAGCCCCTGGTTTGGGAAGGCAGCAACTGGAGTGATTCTCCACTCCTCCTTCCTCGCGGCCACCTCCAGTATTGACAGAAAGGACCAAGAACCATGTGGATTCAGCTGAATCACGAGTTGCAGATGCTCCAAGGGAAATGCTTTGTTTTGCAGCCAGGGGTTACATCTTCTCACTCTGGAAATCTGCTTATTAAGTTTTGTTCCTCCCCCTTTTGGCAGAAAATATTTTCTTGCAATCATATGCATGCAGACATCATAAAACCTGGGGTGGGGCCTACAGTTCGCTATGAGCCGAAGGATGGGAAGCAATAGGGTGTGGAGAATTAAGGTGGTTTGTCTGGCCTGCTGGGCAGGAGGGGACTGCAGGGGCATTTCTGAGGGGACTCTGCATCTGCTAACCCCACTGAGGCACAATGCCTTGAGGAACAATGAACATCCACAATGTATGTGGGACATACCTGAGAGAAGCAACCATTTCTGAAATTAGGCTCTTAAAATTGACATATACGGTCAAGACCAATGGTGCCTTTGAGTAAAATGTTCCACTTTTGCTAACGAATGGCAGGGTAGCAGTGCAGATGAGAAGCACCGACTCTTCCCTTAACCTCCTTGAGTGTCAGTTCTGTTGAGTGGGGGCGATAAGAGCTTCTCTCTCATGGGATTGCCAGGAAGATGCCACGTGATGCTGTCTCTGAGAAGCGTGTGGCCCCTGCCTGGCCTTTGGTGTTAAGTAAACGGCATCTGCTCATGTCAAGCCTTGCACGGCCATGGGCAGGTCAATTTCATCAGCATGTCTATATGCCACACCTTTTGCTTTGTGCACCAGAGGCTCACATCCACAGTCTTTCTGAGGGTTATTACTAGGTCCCTTCACACGGAAGCATCAACAGGACCATGACCCACGGATCTGAAACTGGCTCTGCCTGCGAAGGACACCAGGCCAGGGCTGGCCATCGGCTGTGGCAGCCCCATGGTCCACTCACTCTTGGGCTTTTCAATGATATTTCAGGATGTGTGTTTTGGTTTCTTTTTCATTTCTTTTTCGAAACTAATGCTCTTTGCAGTCCTGGCCATAAAATGCTCGGGTTAGGGATGGGTGTGGAATGGCCAGAGACCGGAAACTACGTGCAGCAGCCCCTGCTCTGTGAATTGCCCCCTAAATGCTTTTTAAAGGTGGATGTTGTAAGAAAAAACAAAGTCTGCCCACATTCCCCTCGGTCATCTGATGTTTCCCCTCCTTGGATTTCATGGGACCGATTCACCCGTCCTCCTCTGCACTGGGGCTCTTACTGGGAGAGTTTCCATTTGCAAGTCTGAACATTCTCCCATATGCATTTCATTAAGACCGCCACTGATAGGCATGAATTCTAGAAGCTGTTGGATTCGTCCAAAGCTTACAGTATAATCCATGTCTAAAAGAGGAGTCATTAGGTAAGAGGGACGCACAGAAGGGTCTGGAATCTCATGGATGTGGTCTTGGTACAGAGAGACAGGGCAGACTGGTGCCAGCCCCAGGCCGGGGTGCCCTTCATACCCGATCCCAGCCCCCTAACCGGCCGCAGCATGTTGACTGGGTCACTCCCCATCTGAGGTCCCACAGTACATATATCCAGTATTCAACTCATCCATGCCCCGGGCTAGACTCCACAGAGCCATGTCTTAGAAGACTCTAAAGATGGTTTTTGAAGGTGGAGCACCGACCACAAGCAACGGCAGAATGGAATGGTGTGTGACGATACGGGCCTCTAACAGCTCCGCACCCGAAGCTTGGACAGACGGACAAAGTATTTTACCTTCCTGAGTCTCATGTATAAAACAGATTTACAATCATACCCATTTCACCGAGGTGCTGAACAAGCCAAATGAGTGAAAGGGGATAAATGCAGAGCCTGGCTCCTCTTACTGTTTCGGTAAGAGATGGCTATCTCTTTTGTCCCAGCGTCTCCATGGTTACTTGGGCACTCCTTTGCGCTGGGACTCTTACTAGGAGAGTTTCCTTTTGCAAGTCTGAACATTCCCCCACAGTCCCTAGAATTGGCACAGGGTAACTGAGGGAAAACAAAGTTTTTGAGTCCACTGTCTTACCAGCAGGCATAGGAGAACAGTAATTTGAATGCCAGCTGGTGTGCAGGGGGATAGTGTGCCCATGGGCTGCCCGTCCCTGCAGCCGCCCATGGTAGGGCCATCAGTCTGGAAGTCAGGCCCAGCTTTGCAAGGGCCTGCATGCTGCGATTTGTCTGCTGGGGGCCCCAGGAGGGGTACCTAAGGTCTGCAGCTGAAGATGCCCCAGTAGGGTCCTCTCTAGATATCAAAGGAGGAAGGAGCTGCAGTGGCTTCACCCTAAGTTATACAGATCAGGGATTCTGGAGAATGGCCTGTCACCCAGATACACCTGGAGAAAAACCAGCCACCCAACCTAGCCAGTCCTCAGACTGAGAAGGAGCACGTAAAAGAGGCGCAAAGGAAAAAAGAAACAAAAATTACTTACCGGGAGTCCAGGCCTTCCGGTGGGACCCTGAAATGAAGAGTGAAGTTGACATAGGTCAGGCAGGGTATTGTAACACTATCCCAACCAGCTGTGTGACCTCGGCAAACCACTTAGCAAGCCACTTGAGTGAGCCCTTGTTATTTTATGAACAAAATGAAGGAAGAGCCTTGATCGCTAAGGCTCATGAAGCTTCCTTCCATTTCTGGCTCTGAAGACAGCCCACCTGTGTTCACCTCTTGGCTCTGCCACTTACTACTTGGGAAACCTCCGGCAAGAGTCTTGGTCTCCCTGTGCCTTGGTGTTCTCATCTTGAAAATGGAAGAATAATCATTACCTATCTGTTAGGATCAAATGGAGAATGTATGTAAAGCTCTGAGCCCAGCAGCTGACACATAGCAAGTGATAAATGCATGCAGCTACTGCCATGATTATTAGAAGAGGACCCGCCAAGGATGTGCGTGGGGCTGGCCTCGGTTTCTCCATTCAGAGACCTGCTGCCACATCCAGTTTCTCTCCTCCCAGACATCCCGCTCTTCCCATAAGCTGAAAGCAGAACCAGGAGTGGGTTTTGGGGGGTTCCTTGGGAGACAAGTCCATCCTTGAAGGGCTGCTGAGAAAAGTTCAGGCAGCGCCAGGAGTAAGTCACCCCTTCTAACCCTTGTTCCTGAGGATATCCCCTCAGCGGTGATGTGGTGACACCTGCCAGTTGGGAGGGTCCTTGGGGAATGTGGGGCTACAGGCTTCATGGGGACAGGACTGGCCGCCATCCCGGTCATGTTGGTTTTGCTCCACTGCACTAAAATGTGAGCTCCGGAGGCAGGGACTTTCCTGTTTCATTCACCGTGTCCCCAGTGCCTCGGCAACGTGGAGCTCTCAATAGTCCTCAAGACACATGAACGAAGGAATCAATCTGCCTGCAGATGCCAGAACCTGGCATCACTCCTGCTTTCCCAGGCCCCCACAAGGACAGCCCAGGCCCTGCGTCCCTAAAACCAGAACTTTAATGCTGAACCAATGCCCTCTTCCTCCCGCTTCTATACTGCCTGTCCCCTAACATCACAGAGTGGGCTGAGAAGTGGGGCAGTGACCTCCCAACCCCCTTGAAAATGTTTCTTGGAATGAAATGGGGTAGAAATAAAGTAATAAATTCATTAATAAAAATTCACAAAATCATAATTTCTTCCTTCAAATGTAATGTTTACCCAGCCACTTGAGAGGCTAAGGCAGGAGGGTGGCTTGAGGTTAGGAGGTCATGACCAGCCTGGGCAACATAGCAAAACCCCATCTCTTTAAAAAAAAAAAAAAAAAGAAAGAAAAAAAAAACATTTAAAAATTATCAGGTGTAGTTTAGCCTGTAGTCCCAGCCAATTGGGAGGCTGAGGCAGGAGGGTCACTTGAGCCCATGAGGTTGAGACTTCAGTGAGCTATGATCATACTACTGCACCCCAGCCTGGGTGAGAGAGTGAGACCCTGCCTCTAAAAAAGAAAACAATTAAACGTTTGCAAAAAACCCTTCGGGATCATCTAGGGAAGCCTCATGCTTTCAGGAGTAAATGAATTAATATATTCCAAGTAAAAATATACATATATGTAGCACATACACACACACACTCCTTGCAACACTCATATGAGGAAGATACTATTTCTAATTTTACAGATGAGGGGACTGAGGCAGAGAGAGGTTAAGTAACTTGCTGAGGTCACACAGCAAAAAGTGGCAGTGCCAGGATTTGATTACAGTTGGTCTGGCCCCAGAGCCCAGACTCGTAATCACTGTTACACTGCCTCCATAAAAACTATAGCAGTGTCTAACACCAGTACGTGTTAGCTACTATTTCGGCAAGGATCATACTCAACCAGGCCTGGCAGCTGCCGGCAAATATTTCTCTATATTCCTTCAGAGAAAGATACATCCCTATTTCCCTTGGTCATCTGTTTTCAGTCTCACAGTTCCTAGCATTAAGAAATTCTCCCGGCCGGGCGCGGTGGCTCAAGCCTGTAATCCCAGCACTTTGGGAGGCCGAGGCGGGTGGATCACAAGGTCGAGAGATCGAGACCATCCTGGTCAACATGGTGAAACCCCGTCTCTACTAAAAATACAAAAAATTAGCTGGGCATGGTGGTGCGTGCCTGTAATCCCAGCTACTCAGGAGGCTGGGGCAGGAGAATTGCTTGAACCCAGGAGGCGGAGGTTGCGGTGAGCCGAGATAGCGCCATTGCACTCCAGCCTGGGTAACAAGAGCGAAACTCCGTCTCAAAAAAAAAAAAAAAAAAAAGAAATTCTCCCTTAAATAGAATCCAGGGATGGCCAGTGGATTGGGAGTAATTGACTAATGGGTTATGTTAAAAAGCCTCCTAATTGATTAGCAATGTCTGCCAGGGGCATGGTGGGTGGGGCAGTGATGGCTGCAAATTTGCTTCTACCTAAGGTTTCTGCTGCAGCTTTAATCCATCCTGCACGGTTGTGTTCTCCAAGCACTGGCTGAGCTTGTGCGCACAGGAACCTGGGTCTTCCTGTTGGAGGATAGAGCCCGCCCCCAGGATGCACCCAGAGGGCAGCAGACAGGCATCTCAGACCCCGTCTCTCTGGTCACCAGCATTCTTCTTTTGCAGGAACCAGAGAGAACAGGGCTGAGGAGGTGATTCCTGCCCTGGCCAGCTTCCCATTTCTTCCTCCTCCTGCCTTGTGGTTTCAGCCAGCACTGGGCAAAGGTAAAGGGCTTCTCTTCTGTGCCGGGCTCAGAATGTGCAGAAAGCTACCTGGGCCTTTATCCTTCACTCTGTGGGCAAAGACTGAGACTCATCCCCTCTACCTCACGGACTCCTTCAGCACAGACCCAAAGCGGTGTGTGAACCGTCCCTGGGTCGGGCCAGCACAAGGTCTCAGAATTCGAAATTCCTGTTAAGGGAAGGACCCTCAAGTCAGGCAGGGACTCAGAGCTGCCCTGGCCCTGAGGGTTAGGTGTGTGCAGGAGGCCCCAAGAAAGGGTGGGAGCAGGTGAGGGCTCTTGTGGCTTCCTCAGAATAAGGCAGAGAAAACCAGCCGATTTCCAACAGGTGAAAGCTCTCTATGGCAGAGTTTATTTTGGAAGATGGATAATAGGAATTAAGATCTGACACCCCAAACATGCCGTAATAAATCATCCCTCCTGTCAAGCAATGACATGACAGGCCTTGCCTCACTGTGAAATGTGGGCGGGCATGGGATCCTCAGCGTGGGTGCAAGGGCCTTTCAGGGGACAAATGGAGGAGTCAATAATGGCCTTTACTAAAAATTAGGCAGGCGGCTCCCACAGGTACAGATCAAGAGGAAAACCGCTGTGGAAATGACTTCTCCAAGGAAGGGATGATGATAGGGTTGAATTCAGCCACCTTGAGAAAGATCTGATGTGAGGGCTGGGCCCTTTCAACTCCTATCTCCAGCTCCCCCAGAGCCCTCTGGTCTTTTGTTGGGCTATGAAAGACAGGTGCTCCTGTTCTCTGGATCCATTACTTCAGGGAGGTAGTCTCCTTGGGCTCTTCTCAGGTTCTCTGGAAGGCTCCACTCCCCGCCCCACCCTGGGCTTCCTAGCAAGGCCGGGAAGGAGCACGGTGCGCTGCCTGTAATTACGTGCTGTCTCCCAGTCTAGCCGGCTGACCGCTCTCTCTTACCTAACCACGGCCACTGCCACCACCTGCCCAAAGTGGCTTCGCCAGAATGGAGCTGCCCACTCAGGGATGTGGACATGAGTTCTCCGGAGCAGACCACATTTGGAGCCAGCTCAGTGACCTGTTTTCTGAGACCTTTCAAGGAGAACTCAGGAGAGATGACCTCTTTTCTTCTTTCTAATACCTGGTGCTTTTTTTTTTTTTTGACTCCAATTGTTTCTTTGGGGCACAAAGGAACTGAGCTAATTAGAGGGAAAGCCACCCTTTCAGATTGAAATTTGGAGCCTGCTTTACCCTGGGGGCAGCCACTGTCTTGCCCTGGAGGGGTGCAGAGGTAGGTGAAAAGCAAAATGGTGGCCTCCTCCCCCCAAGAAGCATTCTGGAGGGACCCCTCAGGAGCCCGCATAGGGCCCCCCAAGACAGCAGGGGCCCAGCTTTCAGTGCCCATACCCAGAACCCCGTTACCAGCAGGTGACACAGGCCTTTCAGATGCATGAGACCCGCGGCTTGAGTACTTACAGGAGGTCCTGAAAGAGAGGGAAAAATGCCTGGGTCAGTGTCATTGCTGTAGGGGGCAGGGGGGAGGCTGACTGGGAAGCAGTGTCCAAGAATTCTTCAGCGGAGGGGTTTCCATGGGGTCTTCAAAGATTGTCTTTTCCTAGCCCACTTTCACCAATACAATCTCTTCCCTCTTTATTTCATCTCCATACTGTCATAACTGGATGAGAAATGCACAGGTTGGCACCCCAGGCTCATCCCTGCTGGGGACCTGCCGGTGACCCTTCTGCCTCACTCAGCTTCCTACCCTCCAAAATGGGCTCTTCAGGACCCGCCTGAACTTGTGTACAAGGCTGCCTTGCAGAACACAGGATGGTGGGCACTGAAGCACACTGAGAAAGGTGGAAATAACAGACCCTGCAAAGATGAGGGGTGTTAGCACACCCCGTGTATACTGTGCCCTGCCAGGGAGGGGCAGCAGGCAGGCAGGGGCGGGCACGGCTGCTCACGATACACCCTGACTGAGGCCCATCGGCCCAGCCTGGTTTCTGTTTAACAGCGAGTTAGGCACGCCACCCCTCCAGGGTCTGCCACCCACAGTCTCTTTCTCAAAGCCCCCTCTGGGGCTCCGACCCCACCCTCCTCCACGCCTCTCTGTTCCTTTCTCCTCCTGCTGTCCACTCCCTGCCTCCCTCCCACGGCCGCAGCAGCAGACCTATCTCATTACTGGCAACAGCCAAGAATGACAAATTCAAGTGTTCCGAGAGGGAGAAAAAAGGAGTAGGGGTGAGGAGGAGGAGGGAAGGTTTAGAAAAGCAGCCCCAAAAAGATAGGGAAGGAAAGGCACTTCTGCGGAACATGAGCCATGAAACCCCCATGGCCCGCCCGCCCCAGTGATTCCCAGCTGGGCCTGGTGCGTCTGCCCGGCCCCTAGTGCCCTGGCCACGTTAACTCAGCTGCGACTCCTGTTGCTTCTTTTATGCTCGGCCAATAAAGACTCCTATGTTTCCCTGTGCTCCTCCTGTTCCCAGAGCCGGCTTCCTTCGCTCCTCCTTCATCTGTCCGTTCCCTGCCCTGGTCACCATCCAGGAAGAAACAGCCTCTTTCATGCTGGCCTCTGTCAAGCCATCATGTTAAGGGTGAACAAAATGTTTTACATTAAAAGCAACAGAAAAAGTCAAGAGGTGTAGCTCCTGGGTTAGCAAGTCCCAGGCCCCAGGCTTGCATGCAGGGCCCAGAACACGTGGGAGGGAGCACCAAGGCAGGGGGAGCATCTGGGACCCATTAGTCTGAGGGGCAGAGGAATGTCACCCAGAATCTGAAAATATCCCAGAGTGCAGCCTGCCAGAGGGGCCAGCCCAGCTGGGGAGTCTGTGCTTCCCAGAGGGGGGAGGTGTCCCCTGCATGAGAAGCAGGCTGGTGACAAAATTCAGTCTGTGGCAATTCTGGGATGGTTCAGCCACATGGAAAGCAGATGACTTGCACCTTCCAGGCCTGACGGGGCCCTGGCTCCCACTGTGGCAGGCTCTGGTGAGGCCCCCAGTTACCCAAGCTGGAGCTCTGAGATGTCCCAAGTGACACAGGCTGGAGCTCTGAGGGCAGCCCTGCCTGTTGTTCGCAGTCTCAGCTGCGTAGGTGTCACCAGATACAGCCAGGTAGCTGGCACAAGACTCGACACTCTGCCCGGTGGCCGAAGAGCAGTTTGCTGGGTCCACCCCTCGGTGATATTAATTCTACTGAAGATTTTGAGGGTTTTTAATATTACTGCCGCCATCGTCACTGCACACACCTTTATTTATGGTCCTTATTAGGTGCCAGGCACAATTCGAGGTGTTTTCTGTTATGCAGTAGGTTCTATCATTCCTGCGTTGCAGATGAGGAAACAGATAGGGGAAGTTTGAGCGACTCCCCAGGGCCATGCAGCCAGTGAAGGGGAGCGCCCTGGACTCTTCTCTATAGTGCCTCTCCGTCTCTCGCTCAGAAAACAACGTACCCCTGACCCCACAGTTGCCTGCAGACCCAGTCCTCTCCAGTCCTTCCCCTGGGATGCCTGTTATGGTTAGCCTCCAGCCCCCTTCTCTGACTCAACCCTCTTATCTGTCATTTACAGGTGCCTTTGTCTTACACAAGGGAATTTGGATCTGCCAAGCTCTTCCAGGCTGCCACTCCCCATCCCTGTCCCTTACAGGGACTTCAGAAGCAGGAACATCCTCTTTATGAACTAATGCTGTGCCATAGGAAGGGAAAGAGATACAGGGGTGCTATCAAAGAAGGCTTTCCCCTGTTAAGGATGGTCCTCGTGGGTCCCCCTGGAAAATCTTTGGGTGCCTTGGAAAGCCCAACTGCCATCCTGCCCCTGCCAACTTTCATGCAACAGGCCTATATTGGGACAGCCCTGGGATTCCAAGCAGATGCCTCCCCTGATGCTGTATCCAATGCTTGGCAGCTCTGAGATGCTGGGGAGCTGATGGCTTTGCAAAATCTAGCAGCGCCTGGATGTCGCTTGTTGCTCTCCCATGTGGGCTACTTGGCTGTGCCCATCACCCTGGCCAGGCACCAAAGGATGGAGTCACCCCAAGGCATTACCAAGTCCCCACAGTGCAGGTGGAGAGAGGCCCAGGGAGATTCATGACCATCCAGGGTCACTTTGTGGGCAGGTGATGGGGGTGGGACCAGCAGTCAGTCTCCTGACTCCCATCCTGGTGTCTTCCTAACAGCACGCCATGTCTAATGACCTGCATCGTTGATCTCGCTGAGGTACAGCCCACACTACCACATCTTGAGAGAGGAGGAAGACACCTGGACTCCACCCACGCAACTGCTGCTTCCTCAAGAGGACACCTGTTTCTTGCGGCAGGGAGAACTATGAAGATTGTCCCAGCACCCTCAGGTGGGCTGAGCAGCCCGCAAGCAGGGCTATCAAGGGAGGGTCACAGCAGCCATCCAGGGTCGGGACATTCTGTCTGAGACCTCCCTGACCGCCTCCGCTTCCTGCTAAGGCCACTACTGTTCTCCCCTGGGGTTTGACCCACCTCCTCCAAGCAAGGCAGCCATGCTCCCCCAAAATGGACACATAGAGATGGACCCCTATGAAGAATTCTGGGGTAGCATTGTGGGTTGGGACTTTTCCCAACCACTTTTTATTTGTTCATTCATTCAACAAACACTTAACAATGCCTACTGTGTGTGAGTCACTGTGCTGGGCTGTGGCTCTCTAAAGATGAATCAAGTATCATCATTGTCCTCTGAGGAAGGAAAACTTCATTTTTTAAGCACTTATTATCTACCAGGCCTGATGCAAAAGCTCAGATGATAAGAGATGAATAATTCATTTCCTTCTGCTGAGAAGGCAACAGTTTTCCTATGTTAGAAAGCTGGAGGAATTCCAGAGATGAGAACTGAAACAAACATGAGGGTCGAAGGGAGAGAGCTTTGCTGTAGGAGAATTCATTTTTTCATTCCTTCATTAATTCAATAGGCATCATTTACTGAGTGCCCATTATGTAGCAGACATAGGACACAGTGCTAAGTACCGTAACTATCACACCAAACTTCAGCTTTACAACAACCTTCTGAGGTTGGTATTGTCACCCCTTCCATAGACTTGGAACCTGAGGCTTAGAGGTTAAGCAACCTGCCTAAGGTGGTCACTTTGCTCTTAAGTGATGGCATCTGATTCTTAAAGTTTTTAAACTTATTTAATTATTATTATTTTTTGAGATAAGATCTCACTCTGTTGCCCAGGCTGGAGTACAGTGGTGCAATCACAGCTCACTGCAGCCTCAACCTCCTTGGGTTCAGGTAATCTTCCCACCTCAGCCTCCCGAGTAGCTGAGACTACACACCGCGCCTGGCTAATTTCCGCATTTTTTGTAAGGATGGAGTTTTGCTATGTTGCCCAGGCTGGTCTCAAACTCCTGAGCTCAAGCTATCTGCCTGCCTCGGCCTCCCAAAATGCTGGGACTACATGCATGAGTCACTGTGCCCGGCGTAATTTTATTGTTTAGCTTTTATTTCCATACAGTAGAACTTGGATTTGAACCTGGTCTCTTGCCCCACAGCCTGTGTTCTCCTGGCTGGAATCATGAAGTTCTCAAGGGTGGAAGGGTCAGCTGGGCCCTCAGCCCCTTCTAAAGTGGGCAGGTAAGTCCCCTCCCCATCATCCCTGGACTTGGTCCCACCCAGTCGCTGGACCCAGTCCTGGTCCCGAACAGGGGGTGTCAAGAGCAGCAGGGTGCTCCCAAGTTCAGCATCATCTGAACCATCTTCTGACCCTGCTGTGCCACTGGGCTCACAGCAGCTGGGGTCCTAGCCCCCACTCACTCCTCCTGGTGCCTACTGCCAGGCTGCCTGTAGCTGACTACCTGCCCCCAGTTCTGCAATGTGCCCGACCCACCCATCTCTGCCAAGACAGGTGTTCCGCCTCATGGGCTCCCCTCAGACCTTGGGTGACTAGTGATATTGGATACACTCTGCCCACTGGAGCAGGGGTTCTCAGCTTGGTGGGGATTTGGCTCTCCAGGGAATAGTTGACAGTATCTGGAGACATTTTTGATTTCATAACTGGGAGGCTTCTATTGGTCTCTAGTGGGTACAGGCCAGGGATGCTGCTAAAAAGACAGGGCACAGAGCCTCCTACCACAGACTCATCTGGTCCCACATGTGAACAGTGTTGAGGATGAGAAACCCTGTGCTGGAATAACGGCACCAGACCTGCCTCGGGGCTCTCCCTGTGCCTCAGTCCCTACGACGCACGCCGTCACCCACGCCCCGGCACTCGCCGACCCGTGGTTTGCCAGCTCTTGGGATCTCATTTTTCTGCAGTTTGGACTGTTCCACCTCCATCCAAGACCTCATCAGGACAAATAGTAATTTGTGTGTTACTCATCTATCGAGCATGTACTCTGTGCCTGACACTATGCTGAGATCCTTATGTACCTTATTTCACTCGGTCTGCCCAATAACCCAGTGAAGAAGTTATGATGGTTATTGTTCCCAGTCTACAGATGGAAAAGCTGAGGCCCAGACA